CGAAGCTAGCGTAAGCCCACGAGAAAAGCCTGGTACTTTGGTTGGTTGTGCAGTTCATGGCAGCCTTTCCAGGGAAGGAATGAAGGTTGCTTTCCTGAAAGATGGCCAAAAGGAACCTGTAGGCACAACGGAAGCCTCAAGGATCTGAGTGAAACAACTGGTCCAGGCGAAGCCAGATGGCGGATGTGTGGCTCTGCTTCTGTTCCCCAAGTGGGGGCGGACTGAGAAGTCAACCTAAAGGTTCCCTGTGTGAGTTCCAGCAAAGCAGACTTAAAGATCATAAGTGATCCAGGCTGCTCTTGGTGTGTTTATGCAAACGAACAGTCAAAATTAAAATCGGGACTCAAAGTAGTCCCTTTAATAACAGTGAGGGTGATCTTAAGGAGAAAAATCGTGGTTCACGGAAAATCACAGTGCTCAGTATTAGACATCAGAATAACACAGCTAACTGCCTTGAAAGTTTGTTTTCATTTAAAAGTTAAAACTGAGTTTGTAATATCACCAAAGATGTACCGTCTACAGGTATGAAGGACCTGTCAAACTGCCATTGCTGAATGTCATTGCAGGAAGGGCCTTGCAATAGGATGTCTTCCCAACAGACAGTCTCACAGGCACAGAGACCGCTTTGGGGATTGTTGTGTGGGTTAACCTGTGTTCTGTTTTTGTAGGCCGTATGCCTATGACCTCATTGCCTGAGTGACTGGTTGCAATAAAGACCTCACTTAAGGAGCCCGTTTTCCATCATCGACCCCCGAGACTCAACGGTTTGGCTGAACTGAGTGGTTGGGTTGGTGAAGGGTTCGGGCGGTCTGTGGGCTTCCCTTTAGAACTGGTTTTCCCTCTTCTGTCTTGATGGCTTGGACAGAAAGGGCCCCAAAATCTAAAGGGAGGGAAAACCCTAAAGTATCCCCCTGGGCCCGAGCCAAGCAGGGTGGGCAGCGGGCTTCGGACAGGTAGCACGCCTCGCACGCCCCCCTCCTCCTCCCTCTGGGGAAGCCGTCCTCCTCCTAACGTGGGGCACGGAAGGCTGGTCCCTGTCTTTGTCATTCGGTGCCTGTGGTTTAATCGTGCCTTCTCACCGTAACCCTCCTAAATCTGTCACCTCCAGAACACGACAAGGATGCCAACTGTCCAGTAACGCCAGCCTTCGGACACCGAGCCTGCCGCTCCCCGGTGACAGCCCACTGACCCGGGCTCTGCAAGGTCCTCCCTGTCACGGGAAGGCCACTGTCTGTCCACTCCCCCCTCCCCACTCCTTCAGGGAAACCCGGGCCCAAGGGTAGGTAGGCCGGCAGCCAGGTCCAGCCGGAAGTAGCTACAAGAAGATGAGACCTTCGCCCATTGTCCTTTATCAGACGGGAAGGGTTTTATCCGAAAGGGGGGAGTGGATTGCACGAGCATCCAGGCGCAGAGCGGGGTCTGGCCTGGGGGCTGGAAGGCTCCGTGCCCAGGCGCCCGGGAGCCACGCCTGCCCCGGCTCACCGTGGCCGCCCAGAGAGGCAGCGCACAGGGGAGTGCTGGCGGGGGAGTCGGTTGTGGGCGGAGTCGGAGATGGGGTTAGGAGGCGGTTCCAGGCTGGGATTTAAACTAAAAGGCGGGCCGCCACGTGAGGCGGGAGACAGTGCGGGACCCACGCGGGTCAATAGCGGGTGAAAGGACCCTTGCCTGCCAGCCACGAGGAGGTGCCACGTGGTTTTGGATTAAGACTGGGAGACCGTGATTGTGGCGACACAGCCGGTGGTGCCGGGAACCGGGGGAGCCCTGGGCAGCCCAGCGCGGATGACCGGGAGGAACCGGGAGGAGTGAGCTGCGGACTGGTGCTTTTTTTCCTTCTGGAAGGTGGTACTTCTGACTGGCCCGGCCGGGCAGAGGGGGAGGGCGGGACTGTGTTTGTGGGTGTGCCTCCGTTTCTGCAGGGAGCGAGATTTCAGGGCAGAATCCCGCCATTGTTCTAAACCTGTGCAACTTGTAATTAAACGTTTCCTTTCCTTTTACCTGCTCTGGCATTGAGAACCCCATTCCTCCCGGCGGTGGGCGGGGCGGAGAAGAGCCATAGAAGGCAAGACCCCGGGTCGGGGGGGTGTTTCTGTAACAGCAGGGACAGGCAGGAGTCCAGGCTGGACCGCCAACTCCTCGGCTCTGGCGGGGGCCCCCGCGGTGGACGGTGGTTTGAGAACGGCCAGGGAGCGCTGGCGCTCCCAGAGGAAGCAGGAGCTGTGGCCCGCATAGGTTTGATTGGAGTCGCCTGTTGGACACCCAGGTGGGGGCCCTGAGGAGACAGCCAGGGCTGGGTGTGCGAGTCTCCAGACGGGAAATGAGATGTGCACGGACGTGCCAGCGGGACTCGGGTGTATTTCACGCCGGAGAACTGAGTGGGTGTGACTTCGGGAGAGAGTGCGCCGAGGAGGACCGAGAGCCGTGCCCTGGGGCACGCCACGTTTAGACGAGAAGCCAGTAAGCCGGATCTGGGAAGGGGGTTCAGAGTGGGCCCCACTGCCCCACTCACGTAAAGAGGGACAGTGCCGGGCCTCGGGGCCCTTTCTGCTGTGACACTGGCTGGGTCTGTGATTGTGGAAAGTTACAGACTGTTAAGAGGGTGGTAGCAGGGGAGGGCGTGCCCCTTCGTGCCCTTATTTGTGGGACACTTTTTAGAGTTTTTCCCAGCTGTAGAAAATGGCTCCGGCATGGAGCCAAACTGGCTGTCTTGGCATTTAAGACCCGTGTGAGACGACCCCGCCCCAACTGTTGGACCACCCACCTGACCTGTCGCTGTCCCTCACAGAGGCAGGGCGGCCCCACATCCCCGCTTTGTGCTCCTCCTCCACCCCGAAGGACGCCCCTGGAGGGGGTTCTGTGGGCGTCAGGTGCAAGGGCCCTCGGAGTCCTTGACCGCTTTTTTGCACTCCGTGTGTGCACTGGTGCACACATGCAAACACACACACGTGTCCCATGTCCTACGAGGTTTTCCCACTCTGGCTTATGGGTGCAGGGACCACGTAGTAATAGTCATAGACTTTTCTCTCCGGCGCTAACCGGATCTCACCTGAGATCCCAGGGGAGGCTTCTGCAGACCTGTATCGGGCAGTGTCACCCTCCCAGAGGCTGTTGGCAGGTGACATGGAGTTGTCATCTAACTGGCGCCCGGCCCCAAACCAGCGCTCAGGATTCCAGGTTCTCTGCCCCGACCCAGCCGTGGGAAAGCCTTACACGTTTGCACGAGCCAAGCTTTTGTGCGCGTGCCCAGAAGGGAAGTCTCAGCGGATGGAGACTATGCCCCCGGAGAACGGCAGCTGTGCACCTTAGCTTGTACATTAGGATCAAAGGGGGAGAGGGGAGGGGTGGGGTGGGTTACCTGAAGTCAGGGTGGTGGGTCAAGGAGGCGGGAGAAGGGAACACGGGGAAAGTGGGGAAAGTGGAGCAATGCACTTGGACACGGGTGGGTACAGCACAGCTGGCGCACAGCACACGGGTGCTCCTTGGTGCTAGTGGTTGTGACTTCAAGGGATAAAAGGGAAATAACTGACGTGTTACCCTAGGTGCATACGACAAATGGACAGGGCTTTCTGAAGTTCAAGATCAACCTTTGGGAAGGGACAGGCCTGGGACAGGACTGCCCGCCATCGCCTGCCCAGTTAGGGGTTTGTGATCCGACCACGCTGTGTGGTTACTTTGGGTCACTGAGCTGGTCAGGCCTGCCGTGTGGCCCCTGAGCTTGTCGGGTTTTTGACATGGCCGCTTTTTCGTTCCTGGTCCCCTCCTTAAAGGACATGGCTCTCCGTAAAACACACCATCGACGAACTCTGCACAGCGTGAGACTCCTGACATTTGCGCACACTTCCCGGGCCAGAGTTGCTGTCAGGCCCCTCTCCCCATTGCCACGGAAAACAACAGTTACTGGTCACTGGCGACTCTTTCAACACTCAGGGCACAAAATGAGCCTGTGTAACAGGTAGTTAAGTTACTGCTGCACTCTAGGTGCCTGAAAGCTTAGCAGTTTACAACCACTTCATTTTGGTCATTATTTTGTGGGTCAGGAATTAAGTGCTAGGCAGGCCTGGCCTGGGGCTTCTCATGAGGTCAGATGTTGCCTGGGGCTGGGGCCGTCTGAGGATGCGCAAGGTGACAAACCCGGCAAGGCCAGGTGAGCAGTGGGTGGCTCAGCTGGAGTGGCTGAGCACAGCGCCCCCACATGGTCCCCCAGCACAGCAGCCTCGGTAGTAGGACTTCCTTGGTGACTGCCCAGAGCAACTGTCTCCAGAGAACCAAGCCAAAGCTGCACAGCCTTTGATGGCCTTGCCTTGGAAATCATAAACAACCTCTTCCACTCTCTGGTTCAAAGAGCACAGACAGCTGCCTCGTGACAGGAGGAGTGACAAGGACACGTTTCAGAAGAGCATGTAGGATGAGCACCATTGTTGCAGAAAACTGGAAAATGCCACCCCCATACAGGCAGCCAGTGTCGTGGGACATCAGGTGCTTTCCTTCCTTGATCTCCAATCAGAAACATGATCATTTGTGAGAGCAAACTACTGAGGTGCTTTTGGGCAGTTCTGAGCACATGCCCAGGAGGACCCCTCAGCTCTGCCCTCCTGGACACGCCGGAGGTGGGAGGGCTATGCCACGTCCTTTGGGCATAAAAAAATGAACGTATTCATCTATTCATTTATTCACTCATCCAACCAATCAATATATGTGACTATCACATGCCAGGTGCTGGGGGTAGTTTTGCAGCTTGTGGATGTATAAGGGGGGTTACAGGAAATCCACTGGTGGTAGATTAGGGAGCTGGTAGAAAGCAAAGAAAGGGAAGTCTCGCCCTGGCTGGTGTAGCTCAGTGGATTGAGCGCGGGCTGCGAACCAAAGTGTTGCAAGTTCGATTCCCAGTCAGGGCACATGCCTGGGTTGCAGGCCATGACCCCCAGCAACTGCACATTGATGTTTCTCTCTCTCTCTTCCCTCTCTAAAAATAAACAAAATCTTTTAAAAAAAGAAATCTGAGGTATCAACAGTTCGTGTCATTTATTTAAAAAGAAAAGAAAGGGAAGTCTCTGAAATGATAACAAGTAAACCAGAGAGACGCGTGCTTCATTCACAGCGGCGGGTACAGGGCGGGTAACAGTCCATATTTACAGCACGCAGGGCCAGTGTGCGGGGAACACGGCTCTGGAGGGAGGCTGCACCCCGAGGGGTCTGGGAAAGAGGGCACTGCCCCGAATACGCTGACACTCCAACGGTGTGTTATCACACCTGCGCAAAGACGACAGGCTCGGTTAAGGGAAAGTCTGACCTTTGTCAGGGAAGATGCCCACCTGGGACATGGCTACCTACCGTGACTTGTTTTCAGTTAAGTCTTAATTTCAGACCACCCCGTGTCTGAAGACTCGAGGTCTCCGAGCTTTGTAAGGCCGCCAGGCAGGCCTCCCCTGGGCCTCTCGGGTTTAACACGTGGCCCCACTTGGCGCACACCTGGATAGGCGAACAGCCCTCCGCCCCTTTCTGCAGCATCCCCTGGCAGCCGCCCTTGCCTGCTCCCCCCACCTGCCGCAGGAATGCCTCCTGTCCATCTTGCATCTCAGCTGGTCCCAGTTCTAACGCGCCCGGCCGCTCTATCCGGCCTCGGCTTCGCCATGGCTACAATGAATGGGCCAGGAACGGAGGAGTCTCGCCCCCCGTGCGGGGGAGGGTGACCGGGCGGGCGCACGTGAAAAGCTCCACGGAAGTCCCCCAGACAGCTGGCCTCACTGCAGGGGCTCTTGAGCGCAGGCATTTCTCTTTGGGCCGGCCTCCTCCGAGCGGACGCCGTAGCCACGGAGCAGCGGGGAACCGCAGGGCGAGGGAAAAAATGGCAGCCGTGGCGTCTAGCCCACCGCCCCAGAATCCTGCGCGCCTGCGCCCCGCCCCGCCCCCTCACCGCCCTGCCTCTCCCGCGCTCAGGACTCTGGGGCGGCCGGCCCACGCCGCGCGCCGATTGGTGGCGTTCCTGGCCCGCCTTCGGGTGATTGACAGCGCCCAGGCCGCCGCCGCCCCGCCGCCGCTGCCGCAGCCGCTGCCGCCGGGTGTGGAGGCCGCCGCCGCTCCCGGGCTGCGCGTCTGCCGCCGCCGCCGCCCAGCCTCCGCTATGGACCTGTTCGGGGACCTGCCGGAGCCCGAGCGCTCGCCGCGCCCTGCTGCCGGTAAGCCAGTGGCCGCCCTGCTGGCGAGGGGAAGGGGGCAGGCGGGCGAGTGGGCCGGCGGCGGCCTGGAGGCCCGCGGCGCCGGGGGCGGGCGGCGGGCGGAGCAGGAGAGCGAGCGCGGCCTGCCCCGGGGCGGCCCAGCGCGCGTACCGCGAGCCCCGGAGCCTCCGCCATGTTCGCTGCGTAGGAAGCACCGGCCGAGGGCAGCGCCGGCCGCCGCGGCCTTTGTGTGCGGCCCCCCGCGCCGTTCGCCCAGCTCCAGGCCCGCCACCCTCGGGCCCCGCGCGGGGTCCGCCGCCTTCGCACGTGGCGCGTCGTCCGGGCCCCGCCCGCCGGCCCGCGTCGAAACCGCTGTCCCTCGTGTAGCGCGATGCCGCGCGGGCGTGGGTTCAGGGTTTGTTTTGCTTTTGCCCCGCAGCTGGGAGGCATCACTAGCGTCATCCTTCGTGGTTGTGAGGCATCCTCTGCGCCTCTCTGCTTTTTCGGGTGGTGCTAGTTCCCCGTGCCTCTGGGATCGCAGGAAGCCCCCTCTGCCCAGAGTCGGGGGCGCCGGCCGGGCCCCCCCCCCATCGGCCACGGCCCGACCACGGGCCGGACCGCTGCGGCCGGGGCGGGAGCCCCGCGCACCGGCCGGCCGAAACCAGTGCCTTTGTGAGTGCTGTGTGTCCGGTGGGTTACGACCACCCTGGGTTTGATCGGGCGAGGCCCATTCACGTTTCGTGCTTATTTCCCAACCTGACTCGGTGGCCGAAAACCTGGGACGCTTGGGAAAAAAATCCAGGTTTCTCGGAACTACTGCGGGGGCGCTGGGGTGAACGAGACCGGCCTTGCGCTTCTGAGAGCTTAGCTCTCAGTGCACGTGATGGGGACCCCGGGAGCTGCCGAGGGCCGGGGCGGTGCTTGTGCCCGAAGAGCGTGGGGAGTGCGGCGGTGCGGGACTTAGGCCTCGGGAGACGCGCGCAGTTGCAGTGGGCAGGGACCCCAGGCCGAGCAGCGAAGTGCTCCGAGGGGAACATCTGGTTCTCCAGTTTGCCCGAGCGCCCAGCGGGCAGTAGTGCTGCGCCCTGGGGCCCGGCAGAGGAGGTGGCTCTGCCCTCCTCCGCGCGTGGTTGCGGGCCTGTGGCCTTGTCCCATGGGACTGGCCTAGCCAGTGTCTGTGTGTGCCATTGTTCCCAGTGACGGCCCGGGCACCGTCCTGTCCTCACTGACCGTTGTGCTGGTGCAGAAGCCTCTGACTAACGGGTGCTGGAGCCCGGGGGCCTGGCCATTCGTGTTCTAGATGGTTCTAGCGCATGAGGCTGGCTTTTTAACTGTCGGTGAGGACAGGCCGTATCGGAGTACGTTTGGGCCAGAGTTTAGCTTCACAAATGTGCCTACAAGCTTATCATTTAAAAAAGAATCTCCATAACTTTCTACTCGAGTCTGTTTGGGTGGACACAGAGCAGGGGTGCCAGACTCATTTTCTCATTAGCCTGGCGGTTGCCTTCAAAGGGCCGAACGTAACTTTAGGACTGTGTAAGTGTAACTGCTCCTCAACAGCTAAGTGGGAGCTTGGTGCCGCCGCCGGGTAGAAACCAGGTGCGGGGCCGGATGAGACGAGGGGGAGGGCCGGATTGGGCCCACGGGCCTTGTGTGTGCCACCTGTGGCTTAGAGGGAGGCATCCTTGGGATGATGCAGCACCTGACGACCTTTTACAATGTTTTTCAGTTGCAATTGACATCAGCATTACTAGTTTCAGGTGTACGACATAGCGGTCAGACATTTGCGTGCCTTACGAAGTGACCCATCCCCACCTGTAAGTCTTACAACCATCTAGCACCGTGCGTGCAGGTGCCTAGTTCTTGCGACGTGACTGCGTGGGGCCTTGCGCCCTGGTGAGAGGCCCATGACCAGAAACAGGGCGCCTGGACCTTGGCTGCGGTGCTGGGTGGCGGGCGCTGCGGGGTGTTCAGCCCTCCTCCCCTGGAGGGGCCGGGTCGTGTGCCCTGCCCACTGGGGCGGGGGTGGGGGGGGGCGCCAGCACCACCACAGGCCCTCTGGGCTGGGAGTGGTTTTAAAAGCAAGGTGTGTGTGTGGGGGGGTGCTGGGCAGCTGAGAGGGGCAGCACTCCGTGAGGGACAGGGCTGGGACCCAGAGTCCCCGCGGTGGGCCGTCAGTCGCCATCGCCAAGGTGCGGGCTCACGGGTTAAAACAGTCATTTGGAAGAGAGCCGAATCTGAGACCACGATCCGTGGCGATGCCATGATATTTGAAAAATTAAGCGCCATACTGGTTTCAGAGAATTGGTGGTCAACGGCTGATACAATTGAAAGTGGAGACAGTGGACGGAAAATGAGGTTGGCATCGCAGTGTGGACGCGAGGGTGAGGCCGGACCGCGGCATCGAGACCCTTCCACGGGGTGGGCGGGAGCCACAGACCCCTGAGCTGGGGCAGGAAACGGGCGTCCTTGGAGACACGGCCCAGCGGCCTCACCTCCCGACTCGGCCGCCCCGTGGGCGCGGGGCTTAGCGGGGCGAACTCCAACAGCTGTTTAAACGGGAGGTGCGCTCTGCTCTGAGTGGATGTCACGGACGGACACACATCAGCATCTGAGGGGAGGAAATAGCATGCCGCTCGGGTACGTCAGGTGTGTCTGGCTCGGTTCTTTGCCTTTTGTTGCCAACGTCCCACCTGAGGCTCCGGTTCCCAGACCTCTGTGTGTGCGGTTCGAAGGGAGGTGAGGAAGGCGCAGTCACAGCCTCGGAGCAGCCCCAGACGGGCGCAGACCGAGGTGCCGGAGCGCCGCCGCGGGGACGCCAGTCCTGGTTCTGCGGGGGGAGGGTCCTGCCTTCGGTTGGTGGGGAGGGGGCGCCGCCGAAGTGCGGTGCCGGGGAGCGGGGCCGGGCGGGCGTGCAGGTGCGAGTTTCCAGGCTCCGTGGGAGTCAGCACCACTGGCCCCGGCCTGTGTGGAGGCTGAATCTCGCCTGCACACGCGGCCGCCCCGAAGCCGTTGCAGCCCACCTCTGCGCGGGGACTCCCGACAGAGAGACGACCTTTGAGCTGCTCGGGTCGACGGAAAGGGAGAATGGTGCATGAGCGGACCTGCACCGTTCCCACCCGTGGGGGTGGGGGGGGGTCCAGTTTGTCGGAGAGAGGAGGTGTATCCGCTGGTATCGGACAGAAATGGACGGAGCTCACCGACGCCGCGCCCTGTGGCGGTCCTGGCTCCGCGGTGTCTCTGGGACGGACAGCTTGTGTCTGGTGAGCCGATACGTTCAGGGGTCCTGGCGCACAGCCGCCGGGCCGTCCCTCGGCGGTGGTGTCACGGGCGGTCGTCTCTCGGGAGAGGTCGCCACGCCACTGCTCTCCACGGCCGACGGGCAGCTGCGGCGGCCGCGTAGGCCTGTGCTCGCGGGTCACCCTGAAGCGTGTCTTCCTCAAGTTAGACCTCTAAATAGTAAGTGACGTCAAGACACTAGAAAACTTAGACTAATTATAAAACTTCAAGGTTAAGCAAGAAAAAAATTGAGTCATAAAGAATAAAAGTGGATTTAACAGTATAAAACTAAAAATTTCTTCGGGGCAAAGTGACACGAAGGCAAAAGTGGAAACGGGAGAAAGTGATCGTCACACGTGTTGCTACAGGTTACTGTCTGCAGTAAGTGCAAGGCTCGCGCACATTGATAAGGAAAGACGGTGGCCCACTGGGACCGTGGTCCCGGGCTGTATCCCGACCGTCCTGGAGGAGGCGCCCACAGCCCGCCTCCCGGAGCTTGCCAGGCTGCCTGCCCGCCCGCCGGGTGCCCGCACCGCCGGCGTGCTGGCACGGGGGTCGGGAAATGGCCGCTCTCCTGGGGGGCGCTGGGAGTGGGCGCCGGCACAGCTTTCTGGGGAGCAAGCAGCCCTCGGCGCCCGTCGGAGTCCAGCTACGCACACCCCCGACCAGCAGTCCCGCGGCAGAAGGGCCTGGGTCCGGGGCGGTCACTGCGCTGGTGCTCATCGCGCACAAGACCCCGGCGCCCTGCCAGCGGGGGCTGGGCGGGTGGGGCCTGCCTCCTGGGCCGCCGTGGGCAGTGTGCTCCTGCGTCATCTCCAGGGCTTTCAGTGAGGGGGCTGGGGGAGAGGGACCCCCTGGCCGGAACCGAACCCGCTGTGCCGCGCGGGCCAGGCCGTCCGGGTGCCTTTGGACGTCCCCCGGATGCTGCCCTTCAGGCTGCCGGGGCCTTCCTGTCGCTGGTGGGGAGGGGGAGAGCGTGTGCGAGTGTTTGCCGAGTCGGGGTGACCCTGAGTGGAGGAGTGTGCCTCGGCGAGCAGACGCTTTTCGTCCGGGTCGGGTGTAAGCAGAGGAGCTCCTTTTCGCTGGGTCAGGGATCGATCGGGCATTTAAGGTGCCTCTGACCTAAAGACCGCTGAAGAAATTTCCTTTCTTTGGAGTCTGTAGGTTTTCATTAAAATGTTTGTTTTCACAAGAGTGGAATTGGTGCCCAGTTCATCTCTACGTGGAGGCCGAGAGACCCTGTGGGTGAGCTGGTCTTTCAGTGGGCGCACCTCTGCACTTGAACCCTGAGGAACGGGGCCGGCCGGGGTGCGGGGCGTCCCGGCCCCTGGGCAGCCGCCCCGGCCTTCCGGGTCGTGGGGGTTTGGTGGCTTCCGCAGAAACTTGGGGGGCAGTCGGAGCGTGAGGAGTGGTGGGTCAGTGCTGTGCGGAGAGGGTGACCGAGCAGAACACACGTAAGCCTCTGCTCCGCCGTGGCCACGGTCGGGGGGTTTTAGACGCGAGACTCGCCCGCGGTCTCCGGGCCTTACCTCGGAGGAGCTGGGACTCCGCGTTTGGTCCGGACGTCTGCGTTGAGTCCGGCTCGTGCGGGGGGCCGCCCGGGCGGGGCGCGGGGTCCCCTCGGCCTCACCTCGGTGCCCGTGTGTCTGCGGCTTGTGGGCGTGGCGGTCAGATCGGAACATCGTCGGGGGGAGTTTGCCCAGACCCTGGGTCTGTGGGGGTCCGTCCCTCCGCGGCCGGCACCCGGTTGTTTTCTTGGTCTAGAATCGTTTTTTTTTCCTCCCAGGATTCTTTTTTTTTTTTTTTTTTTAAGATTTAAACCTCTTTGTTGCTTTCAGTAATGAGATTACCCAGAAAGATACTGGTTTTTCTCAGAACGCCCGCCGGCCTCAGAAGGCCTGGTGGGCCACCTCCGGTTGCTTTCTCGTTGGCGGTGACCGCTGGGGACCAACCGGCGTGCACGTTAGCCGGCGGAGAAAACATTTCTAACGATAAATCTTGCCCCACGAGAGGAGAAAAAATGGACCTCACGGCGAACTCGCCTCGGAGTCTCCCCGTGGCCGAGCCGTGCGGCCGCGGCCGCACACCGCGGGGCTCAGCCGTGTCTGTGTCCCGTGTCCTAGGGAAGGAAGCCCAGAAGGGACCCCCGCTCTTCGACGACCTCCCTCCGGCCGGCGGCACCGACTCAGGTACAGTCTCCAGGCTCTCCCAGGTGTGTGTCCGCGCGTCGCCCTGGGGTGGCGGCAGCTCGGCCTCTCTCCCTCCCCCTCCCCCGTTTCCAGCGCGCGGAGGTTTCAGGTGGTGGGCCGCCGCGAGCTCGGGGTCCGTGGCGTCAGGTGAGGCCGGAGGCTGGGGGTCCCCGGCGCTGAGACGCCACGGGAAGGTTGGGCGGTTCCTCCGGCCCCCTTGAGTGTCCCGCTGCTGAAACCAGACGCAGCCCCCGAGGGCAGGGTCTCGTCTCCGGTCCAGGGCAGGACTTGCAGACGGGGCGAGACCTTCCCGGCCACGTGGCCGGGCCAGCGCGAGCAGCCGCTGGAGGGGCGGTGCGGAGCGCGTCCCCGTGGTCTGCGGGCTCACCGAGTGTCCTGCTGTGTTTCAGGGCCAGGGGGACCCCTGCTCTTCGACGACCTCCCGCCGGCCGGCAGTGGCGGGTCAGGTGAGTGGGGGGGGGGATGTCCGAGCGCCGGCGTGCAGCCCTTCGGGGGGCGTCCAGGCGCAGCGCCGGTGCCGTGTGCCTCGTGCCGGGGGGCAGGCGGGGCCGTGGGTTGTGACGGCAGTTGCCTGTGGTTGCACACTTGGTGGGCCAAGCGCTGTGACCGGTGCTTCTCACTCTCGTCCCCCTCCACTTCCAGGCAGCCCTCGGGGACAGGAGCAGGCTGGGCGGCTGAGGCCTGGCCTCCGGGGGCACCGGGGGTGGGGCGGGATCTGGACGTGGGCCCCTCTAGGCTGCAGGCCCAGGTGCTCTCTGCCCGCCCGGGCGCTCTCCCCCGCCGCAGGGCCTCCTTCCACGGCCCTGCTCTGCCTGTCGGGGTCCATACAGCTCCTGAAGCCCGACTTTTACCCCATTTCAAGCCTTTTGGGCACTTGGTACTTTCTGAGCTGGTTCAGCAGGGGTCCCTTTGCAGGTCTGGGACAGCTGGCTTCCTGTGCGCACGTAGGTCAGGGCCTGCAGCTGCAGGACACCGCGTGTGCGCGCGGGCCCTGGGCCTCCGGAAGCCCCCCGCAGACCCCCGGGCGGGCGCGGGGCCGGCTGCTGCACCGGGGGCAGGGTGGGGTGGGGCAGGGTTTCGGGGGAGGCCTGGTCGGCAGGGCCCCCCGCCGTCCACCTGCAGCTGTTTCTGTCCGCTCTCCCTGCGTTTCCAGGGTCTCCTGACACCCCGCTGCCCCCGCCAGCGAAGAGTGGAGGGAAAGGGGAGAAGAGGAAGCCCTCTGAGGAGGAGGAGAATGGCGGTGAAGAGCTTGTGGAAAAGAAAGTTTGTAAAGGTTTTCAGACAGTTTGAAAACACATGTATTAGACTCCATAACCTAGACCCACCCAGAGCAACACCAAGCTCAGCTTTCTGACGATGCCACTGCCTCTGTGTGTCTGTGTGTTGAGAAGCGGGTAGGGCTCCCTTTCTGCACACTGACCCGGAGCTCCCTCCCTCCCTCCCTCCCTCTCTCTCTCTACCTCCCGAGGTCTGGCACCCACGGGAGCCTCGCCAGGCCCCGTGCGGGCAGCAGTTCCCCGGCTGCCCCCCCGTCTCCCTTGGGCCCCCCTTCGTCCCTGGCCCGGTGGCCCCGCCCCTGTGGTGGGGCCCGCAGCCGCCTCCAGAGAGAGCCCGGGCCAGCAGCGCGGTGGGAACCTGCCGCCCCCGTGCGGCGTGTCGCGGCGGGGGGACCCGGAAAGGGTCAGTGAGAGGGGGGCAGCTGTGGGCTCAGCCGCAGCCCTGACCACGCAGACTTCTGCCCCAAAGGCTCCCGCGGCTGCCGGGCGCTCGCTGGTGGGTGAGGCCCGCCGACTGGCCCGCCCCCCTCGGGAAGGGCTCTGCCCCAGCGGTGGCGGGGAGGCGGGGAAGCGCGCTGTCTGTCGTGTGCGCGGCCCGAGGGGTCAGAAAGCGAGCTTGAGCTGGCCTGGGTGCGAGAGAGAGGTGGCGGTGCCTGGTGGCTCCTGTGTCCGCGTCTTCCTCGGTCAGAGGGCGGGCCGCGGGTCTCCCGCCTGGCAGGTTCTCTGCCCGCCTGCAGCGGAGGGGCTCCCGGTTCTGCGTGTCCACCAGAACCTTCGGGGCAGACTCCTCTCACGTTTCTCTCTGCGGGAGCTTCTCTGTCTTCGCCGAGTGATTGGCAGAAGCAGGCCTGCACGGCCCCTCCCCCGCGCAGACCCCCCTCTGGGGCGCGACTGCGCACTGCCCTCTGGCCGTGCTCTGGCCGGTGCCTTCCCTTCCGCGGGGCTACCCCGCACTGACCTGTGCCGTCCGCTGCCCCCTGCACCGTCCGGCCTCGCCGACGCCGCTGGGACCCGCAGGGGTCCAGGGCAGCCGCAGACTGCTGTGGTCGGCGGCGGGGGAGGGGTGGGGCTGAGTCGTGTGCCCGCGGGGAGGACAGCCAGCCGCCCGCTCGTGTGCTCTGGGCCCCGGGCTCCCGCGGGCCCCGTTTTGTATTGGCTCTCTGCTTCCCCCCCCAGCCTCCTCCGTGATCTTCGGCTTGAAAGGCTTTGTGGCCGAGCGCAAGGGCGAGCGGGAGGAGATGCAGGACGCCCACGTCATCCTGAACGACATCACGGCGGAGTGCAGGCCGCCCGCGTCCCTCATGTGAGTGCCCGCGCCCCTCGTGTGAGTGGCCGGCACGAGGAGCGGTCTCGGCCCGGCCAGGGCCGCAGCTGTGGGCTCCGTGCGCCCTGCGTGTGTTAGACCGGCCGGCGCAGAGCCCTGGAGCGGCTTGGTGTGGGTGGGTGGCTCTCAGTGTGGGTGGCTTTGTGCCCACCCTCTGGCGCTGGTTGTCCCTGTGGGTGGAGGGTGTGTCCCTGGCCTCTGGTGAGGGAGGCTGGGTGCCGCCGAGCCCCCTGCAGCTCCCAGGACGGCCCCCGGCAGACCCGTGCAGCTCCAGGCCCCAGCGGCGCTGCGGTCTAGTGGCCCTGCCCTGTGGGACTGACCGCCCGTGGGGCCCTCGGGGCGTGCGCTCTCTCCCGACACGGCAGGGAGTCTAGTGGACGGCGCCCTGTTCTGGGACCCGGGAGCCCGGGCTGGAGGCCCCCAGCCCAGCAGCGGGCGCTGACCCAGCAGAGCCAGCGCAGCCAGCGAGGGCTCCGCGAGCCCGGCACGGGAGGGGTGTCAGGAGAGGAAAGCTGGAAATGCCCCGTCTGTCCAAACGCAGTGAGGCCTCGGGCGGGGTCTTCGGTGTGAAGGGGAAGCAGCCGGGGGCGGACGGGAGGTGGTTGCTGACGGGCAGGATGTGCGCTGTGGCACGAGCTGCGGTGTGGCTCGGTCGGTTGGGCGTCCCACAAAGCAGTGGGTCAGTGGTTTGATTCCCGGTCAGGGCACGTGCCTGGGCTGCAGCTTCAGTCCCCAGTAGAGCGCGTGTGAGAGGCAACCACACACTGATGTTTCTCTCCTCCTCTTTCTCCCTCCCTTCTCCTCTTTAAAAGTAAATACAATTTTTTTTAGATTTATTCATTCATTTATTTATTTATTTATTGAGAGGGAAGGGAGGGAGAAAGAGAGAAACATCAATGTGTGGTTGCTGGGGGCCGTGGCCTGCAACCCAGGCAGGTGCCCTGACTGGGAATCGAACCTGCGAAGCTTTGGTTCGCAGCCAGTGCTCAATCCACTGAGCTACGCCAGCCAGGACCAAGAGTAAATAAAACCTTTAAAGATTTATATATACATATATAATAACTACTTATATCTCCATGAAACTGTCGTTAACTGACACTAGTTGCTCATTAACATACAGTGTGCTGGAGCCTGTGGTGCTGGTGGCTTCTGTCCAGCAGACCAGCCCTGGTCGCCAGGAGGTGGTGGCCCTGCAGGGATCCCGGTCACATGGGAGGGGGCGCTGTAGCTCCGTGTGCACTCACTGCCCCCCAGGACCGTGGGTGGGCTCCGGGGCTGGGAGAGGGTCTCGAGGAGAGTCCCGGGGTGGGGGCAGCGCTGGGGCGAGGGGGATTTGCTCGGGGAGGCCGTGCCCCGCCCAGCGGGCACCCTGCCGCCAGAGAGCAGTGCTGCGCTCCGTGCCTGGGGGAGCCCCCGCCCCCCCATGGCTCATGGTTCCCAGATGGAACAGGCATTGCAGGGGAAGTGTCGTTTCTCATTGCCGTTTCTGTCCTTTCCTTTTGGAAACAGTTTGTTTTGTAATGCCATTTGTTCCACATCTGTGCGAGCTCTCTGGCGCACCGAGGCGGGGGGTGGGAACGAGTCTGGTGAGGTGGGCTTCGGGGGTTGGACGCCTGTCCGGGTTCGAGCACGACCCTGAAGCTGCCCCAGGGCCTCACCGAGTTTGTTTAGTGTCTTATTGTCTCATTTGTAGGGAGAGGGGAAGGGGAAGAGCGGGAGAGAAGCGTTGACCACTCGCTGCCTCTCACGCGGGGTCCCGGCCCGCGGCCCAGGCACGCGCCTGGACCGGGGATCGAACTGGGCCCCCTCCGCTTTGCAGGACGACGCCCAGCCCAACTGAGCCAGCCCAGGCAGGGCCTCACAGACATTTTTGACCGTCCTGGATTAATGACTGCTTCTCCGCTTGTCGTGGTGCTGAAAACTAAGTCTGGTTTAAATAGAAGGAAGTCTTGGCCCTGGCCGGCGGGGCCCAGTGGGTGCAGCACCAGTCTGTGGACTGGAAGGTCACCGGTTCGATTCCAGCTCAGAGCACATGCCCAGGCTGCGGGCAGGAGAGAGGCCGCTGTTGGATGTTTCTCTCCCTCTCCTTTTCCCTTTCATTCTCGCTGAAAGTAAACGAGTAAAATCTAAAGAGAAAAGCTTTAGAATTTAGTTTCATCTTCCGTGAAAGAGTTTATAGACCTTGATTTTTGAAACAAGTGTGTTGTGTTTTGAAATACCCTGAAAGTCACTTGCACGTGTGTCTCCATCAGCGTCGCCGCCTGTGTCCCGTTCGCCGCAGTGACGGGCGCCCGGGCAGCGGGCGTCCCCCGTGGGCGGTGCTCACTGCCGCCGCCGCGAGGCCGGGCAGCCTGCGCGGAGGGCGGTGACGCGGGCTCTCTCACTCGCCCCCAGAACCCGGGTTTCCTACTTCGCCGTGTTCGACGGGCATGGAGGGATTCGCGCCTCAAAATTTGCTGCACAGAATTTGCATCAGAACTTGATCAGGAAATTTCCAAAAGGTGAGACCGGGAACGAAATTCGCACGCGGCCGTCCCGGTGTCCGCTGTGTGGGGGGCTCAGCGGCGTGTCACTCTGGCTCCAGCGGAGTCACCGGCGGCAGAGGAAGAGCAGGGCGGGGGCGGGCTCCTCTCGGGACCCGTCCGTGGGGCCGGCGAGGGGCCCGCCCTGTGGGGGCGGAGACACGCTGTTCTGGGTCCTGGGTCAAAAACGAAGGGCGAGGCCCACTCCCCCTGCCTGTGCCCCCGCCCCCGTGGCAGGAGACGTGACCAGTGTGGAGAAGACCGTGAGGAGGTGCCTCCTGGACACCTTCAAGCACACGGACGAGGAGTTCCTCAGGCAGGCCTCCAGCCAGTGAGTGTGGCCGCGTGGGGGTGGGGGTGGGATGTGTGTGTGGTTCTCCTGCACGCGCGTCACCTCTTCGCTCCTGTCTCGCACGGACGCCCCGCCTGGGGAGCGCCGTGTGCCCGCCCTGCGGTCCACCCAGGGGATGAGGCCCTGCCCGGTCTCCCCGCGAGCACGGCTCCCTGTGCCCGTGGGGTGGGACGGGGCGACCCTCACCACCGTCTCTCCCCGCAGGAAGCCGGCCTGGAAAGACGGCTCCACCGCCACCTGTGTCCTGGCTGTGGACAACGTCCTCTACATCGCCAACCTCGGGGACAGCCGGGTATGTTCCCGGGGATGCGCCCACCCAGACAGGGTGCTCCGTAGGGGCGAGGGCTGGGGCGGCCACCGAGGTGAGCCGGTCCGCCCTCGGGGAGGACGGAGGCACGGCAGCAGCCTCTTCTGCCTGGAAACCCGACACGCCCTTCCCTGCCTGCCTGCCACGCCCCCTGGCTGGCAGCGCTCCGTCGGGCAGCGAGTGCTCCAGGCCAGAACGGGGTCGGTGCATGGTGACCGCGCTCTTCCCTGTCTCACCTCTGACCTCTGAGCCCTGCTGCTCGGGGTCACGCCGCTGCCCGAGAGCCTGGACCGCGGCAGCCAGAGACCATGCCGGGTGCCGTGCCGCTCATCCGGGGAGCCCAGGCATGTCCCTCAGGGGACAGCTGGGTCCCCACCACTGCGGTGGGAGCAAGTTCGAGGTGGAGGCGGGCCCTCCGCAGGGCGGCCTCAGCCGGCTGCCCTCAGGACCTGAGCTCCGCTCCATTTGTGCCTGGCTGGTGTCTCTGTGGTGCCGCTCTGACTGGGGCCCTTCCCGGGGCCACGGCTGCCAGCAGCAGGCGGACTCCCGGGCCCCAGCTGCGGCCCCTGTCCCCTCCCGCCAGCCCTGGGCACACCCGGCCTCACGGCCGCCGGCCCCCTGTCTTCCAGGCCATCCTGTGCCGCTACAACGAGGAGAGCCAGAAGCACTCGGCCCTGAGCCTCAGCAAGGAGCACAACCCCACGCAGTACGAGGAGCGCATGAGGATCCAGAAGGCCGGGGGGAACGTCAGGTGCGCGGGCCCCTGCGGAGAAAGGCTCTTCCTCGTCGGTGGGTGGGGGCCTCGCTTCTCCCCGGGACGCACGGCGAACGTTGCAGCGTGAGGTCGCCCTCCGCACTGGTGGCCATCAGTGTCGTCTTCCTCTGTGTTCGGTTTTGAGAGAGAGAGAGAGACACCGATGGTGGTCGCGTGTACTCGCTGACACACCGTTGGTTGGTCCTCGCATGCGCTCCAGCCGGGACCAAACCCGTAGGTAACCCGGCGCGCCGGGACGGACGGCGCTCGGCCCCCTGAGCCGCACCCGGCCGGGCCCGGTGGTGTCCGTCTCCCCTCGGCCTCGCTCCCTCTCTCCTGCCGCCTTGCCGCGTGACTCGCCGCACACCAGCGTGCCTGGGTTTCAGGGTGCGGGCGCTCGCCCTCGGGTCCCGGGGCGCTCCCTGCTCACGCGACCGTGGCTGTGGCCTGTGGGGGGACCCTTGCTTTCATCTTTAAACCCAGCGCACGGGCTGGGGACGGTGGTCTCACCAGGGTGTCACTGGCTCTGTGTCTGCAGGGCCCCGGCCGGGAGGCGGTTCAGGCTGTGGCAGGTCTCACTGCAGCTCAGCAGTGCGCGGGGCTCTCCCCCGGCCCGCTCAGGGGGGGGCCACAGCTCTCTCTGCCGGGAATCCTGGTTCCCAACGACTGTTGATTTGCCGATGCTGCTTTAGAGTGGTAGTGTCAGCGTCGCTGTTGCTGGAGTGGGGGTCCGCTTCTCTCGTGCTGGGCTCCTGCTCACGAGGGGTGTGTGTGGGCCCCTGGCTGTCGCCGCTGCGGTGGCCATGGTGGTCCCCAGCTCCCGTTTGTTCCAGACTCAGGGCCTCCCCCTCGGTGTGAGTCCCTCACAGGGCAAAGCCGAGTGGGCGGAGCCGAGTAGAACTACCGTGGGACCAGCAGTCCCACTTCCGGGCCTGCCTGCAGAAGGACTGCAGGCTGGGGTTCGGACAGACGCGTGCACACCTGCTCATAGCCTCGTGACTGCGGACAGCAGCTGGCGGGGGGGGGGGGGGCGGGCGGGGCAGCGGCCGAGTGCCCGTGAGTGGGTGCCTCGGTCAGCCAGTGCGGGCCGTCTGGTCCATTCCGTGCACTGCCGCTCGGCCTTGGAAGGAAGGGGGCTCTGTTGCGGCTGCAGCACGGCCGACCCGTGAGGACGCGGGCTGAGAGGAGCCGGCTACAGGAGGACGGGCACTGAGGTCTCGCCCACACCAGGTCCCTGGGGCAGCCGGGCGGCCGCTCCCCCGGCTTCACACCGGAGGGTTTGAGGGTGTGCGGTGGCCAACCCACCAGACTTGGGCTCGGGGCCCCAGCCCAGGACGGTGGTTCCCTGCTGACGGAGCTCTGCTTGACGGTGTGGAGTCCCCGTCTTTCTGCCCCCTACCTACGCACGGAACGGGTGGAAGGGGCGCTGTGCTGAGTGGTGCGGGCTGTGTGCAAGGGTCGCCGGTTCGATTCCTGGGCAGGGCACATGCGGGCCAGGCAGCCACACATCGATGTTCCTCTTCCCTTCCCTCCCCCTTCTCTGAAAATAAATACAATCTAAAAAATACAGGAACAGAGAAAGCCAGGCCCCTACCTGGTCCAGGCCCGTCTGTCCCAGTGTTTGGGCAGACCGGCAGGTCGGGTCAGTGCAGCCCAGGGGGGCGCCGAGGGCCCCGGGGGTCTGCAGCCCCCTGCGCGCCTGCAGCCGGGAGCTGTCGGTGCTGGTTGATGGGGCGTCTGCAGGCCGAGCCTTTCCCTCTGCCCCGCTGTCCGGCTCGTGGCCTGGCGAGTGGGGTCTGAATGTTTGCCCCTCGTTTCAGGGACGGGCGTGTCCTGGGCGTGCTGGAGGTGTCCCGCTCCATCGGGGACGGGCAGTACAAGCGCTGCGGGGTCACCTCCGTGCCGGACATCAGGCGCTGCCAGCTGACCCCCAACGACAGGTGAGGGTGCCGCCAGAGGCCCGTGCGTGCGGGGCTTGGGCGTGGGGGGCGGGGTGGGGGCCCCCGCGGGAGGAAGAAGGCCTTCTGACAGGAGACAGGACAGAGGCAGGAAAGTGTGGCCGGGCGGGTGCCAGTGGTGGCGCCGCGGGAGAGTGGTGGTGGCAGGGGACTCTGGGGACGGAGGTGGCAGGCCCTGCGGTCCACGCTGAGGCCTCTGGGCCTCACTGCGCACGGGTGGGGGCCCTGGGGATTGCGAGCTGAGCTCGGGTGGGACAGAGACCGCCTCCCAGTTGTGTGTGGCACCCTGAGGTGCCTGAAGACGAGGCCCCGGGCCCCGGCCCAGGGTGGGCTGAGCTGGGGCAGCGGAGCTGGGAAGTGCTCGGAACGGTGTCACCAGGCTGAGTGGCGAGGGCACAGGGACAGAGGGGCCCTTCGGGGCGCAGCTCTGAGCCCCGCCCTGGCGCGTTCCTCCTGACCCCGGGGTCTCGGCGGTGTCCCCACCGCCCCTGTGGTCTTCCGAGAGCTGCCCCGGGTCAGCGCCTTCGTGGGCTGCACTGGTGCCCTCCCTGGCAGGGGCGGGAGCCGTCCGGGACACGCGCCCTGCTGTGCCGGGCCCAGGTCGCGGGCTGGTGGGCGCTGCCGAGTGTGCGCCCGGTCAGCGGAGGAGGAGCGGGCCCTGGGGGTGGCAGCGGGGGGCGGGGGCGGGGAGAGCCAGGGACCTCCTCGGTGCTCGGGCGGAACTGCAGGCCCACGCTGCCGCTGCTCAGAGGACGGGACCTCTGAGAGGGGGGAGCCCTGCCCCGGAGAGCAAAGCGGGCAGTTGTCCCGGGGCCTCCGTGCGGCGCCACCCCGCCCGCTCCGCGTCTCCGGGAGCGGCTCGCGGCAGCGGGTGGAGACGGGTTCCTTCTCCGGGGGTTCCCCTCCAGTCTGCGTGCGAGAGCGTGGCACCCCACGCTCGGCTGAGCCCTCTCACGTCGCTGCCGAGCCCCGGCCAGCCCCAGTTGTTGCGGTGGTACTCAAGGAGTTTCAGCTTCGTCTCACCAAAGTCAGATTGGCTTTAAGTTCCAGCCTTTGCGCCCTGGGACCAGAGTGTGTGTCTGCTGAGCCCTGGGACCAATGTGTGTGTCTGCTGAGCCCTGGAACCAGAATGTGTGTCTGCTGAGCCCTGGGACCAGAGTGTGTCTCTGCTGAGCCCTGGGACCAGAGTGTGTCTCTGCTGAGCCCTGGGACCAGAGTGTGTCTCTGCTGAGCCCTGGGACCAGTGTGTGTGTCTGCTGAGCCCTGGGACCAGAGTGTGTGTCTGCTGAGCCCTGGGACCAGAGTGTGTGTCTGCTGAGCCCTGGGACCAGTGTGTGTGTCTGCTGGCCGGTCTGAGAAATCCGCTGCTCAGCCCCTGCCTGTCTCTTCCCCGTCCTGCAGGTTCATCCTGCTGGCCTGTGACGGCCTCTTCAAGGTCTTCACCCCCGAGGAAGCTGTGAACTTCATCTTGTCCTGCCTTGAGGTGAGACGCCGCACCAGGGCCCCCACCGTGGGTGACCGTCCCACAAACGGAAAGGTCACCCGTTCATCTCCCTGTCGGGGCCCAGGCTGCAGGTTTGGTCCCTGGTCGGGGCGTGCACGGAGGCAGCCACTTGGGGTTTCTCTCGCTCATCAGTGTGTCCCTCCCTCCCTCCCTCCCTCCCCCCTCTCTAAAATAAATCGCACCCAGATGGAGGCGATGGTGCCCTGCAGCACTTTAGGTCTTAGGCAGGCACGTGTCCTGGAACCCCTTGTCCCCATTGTCGGGGCCCCCCCCCCGCCAGCCTGCGGCTTCAGCGTCAGCTGGGCCTGGGAGACGCAGCGGTCAGTTTGTCCTGCGTGCCCTGGGGGGCAGTCCTCCCTGGTGGGGGTGCTGTCTCCGGGGAGGGCGGGCGCAGGGCCCCACTCACCAGCACCCTTCCTTCCCTGCCGGCAGGACGAGAAGATCCAGAGCCGCGAGGGGAAGCCGGCTGTGGACGCCCGCTACGACGCGGCCTGCAACCGGCTGGCCAGCAAGGCAGTGCAGCGGGGCTCGGCCGACAACGTCACCGTCATGCTGGTGCGCATCGGGCACTGAGGGCGCGCGGGGTGCGTGCCCGTGCGTGTGCACGTGCGTGTTCCTGTGGGACTCCCGTGCTTGTAAATAAAAGCTCTTTTTTCTAGTCTTTGCTCTCACTGCTTTGCCGCGCTCTCGCCCTCAGAGGTCAGCGTGTCCGCCTTTGGCCACACCTCGGGTCCTCTCGGGCCGGCTCCAGGGGCCGGCCGTGCACTGCGTGCTGTGCTCGCCGCAGCTGCCCGGTCCCCGCCCCACGCCACCCCTGCCCCCCCCCATGAGGGCCCGGCAGGGCGGGGCCTTTCAGAGTGTGGGGGGCCCTGGGCTTCCCTCAAAAGTACAGTCTCCGCACAAAGGTAGGGCCGCGGGCAGAGCCTGGGCTCAGCCTCTTCCCGAGGTCCCCCCTCCCGCCTGTCCTGGGGCTTGCAGGCAGGTGCCCCCATGTGAGCCGGCACCTGGCTCGGGGGGCCACACCGTCGAGCCGCTGTGGCTGGGGGGCTGTGCCCGGCAGAGCTGTTCTCCATCCCAGCGACCCCCAAGGGGCCCTCCTGTCCGACACCCAAGGGGGAAATGCACGGTGGCCCACCTGGAAGAAGGGGAGATACACGTTCCAGGTTCTTCTGTGTGAAACACGGGTGTTGCCGTCACTTCCCTTCAAGAGAGCAGCTCCCGGGCCTGTGGGTCAGTGCCCACTTCCGGGTGATGTAAGATTTTAAAAACTTGCCATTCCAGAGCCGCGCTGGCCTGTTCGCCGCCCCCGCCCAGCCCACACTGGCCTTATCGCCCTGCGGTTAGTGGGACTGGCGTCCCTGCCACAGGCACCTCGGGGACGCCTGTGTGCACCCCCGCCCCTCCCCCAGACTGTCCCGTGCTGGCCCCACGGCCGCCCGCCCGCCTGGGGCTGCAGCAGCACAGGATGGGGCCCGAGCACCTCAGCGTCAGGAGACAGAGCGGTTTCTGCAGCCAGCGTCCCCGTGGGGCAAAGGGGGGGTGTGTGTGTGACTCGTGGGCCCGGCTCCCCGAGGGCCCTGGCCCCGGAGCTGGGCGAGGCCTGCCCCCGCCTGCCCGGGGACCAGGCCTGCTGCCGCACCCCACCCTGGTGGCCCCGATGGCAGAGACTCTACATTTTAAGGACTATGCTTTATTTTTGTGATTTTGTACGGTCGTGCAACAATTCTTACACCGGAACCACTTCGCAGTGTCAGCTACACAAACAGGTTCCACCCGGCAAAGCACACCAGGCGTGTGTGCGTGCGGCCCTCGGGCTGAGGAGGCGAGAGCTCTGTGGCTCCTTGGAGGGTAACAGCCGGCTTTTCCAAAATATCTGTGGCCACACCTGCCCTTATCGGACAGCGTGGGCCGCAGGGCACGGCCGGCTGGCACTTCCTGGTAGGGCGGGGCAGGGCCTACTGAGAAGCGTGCCCGGCTGCCAAGGGGCACGGTGCTGGGGGGGGTGCTGTGACTCTGGGGACCACCTGGCCGGGAGTGAGATGTTCAGTTGTGGGAGGGGACGCTTCGGGCTCCTGGGGACGTCGTCCTGAGGCCAGCTAGGAGGTGAAGGGGACAGCAGCCCCGGTCCCTCTCCCCCAGGTCTCAAGGTCCTCAGCTGGGCCCCCAGGGTGTGCTGTAGGCTGACAGCCGGGCCCCCTCATGGGGTGGCCCCCGGCCTCCGGGTCCTGTCGCTGCTGCAGAGGCATGGGGGACATGGCACCCAGCCCTCTCGGGACCTGCTTTTCCTCAGCACGGTCTCCTCCCCCCCACATCTGAGCTCAGAGCCTGCTTCCACCTGAGCGGGGCAGACGTTTGAAGGGCCCCACAGCCAGCCGGCCCCTGCTAGGCTGTGGCTGGGCATGGGGGGCTGCTGGCTGGCTGGGTGGGCAGGGCCCGCAGAGATGTTCCGGCTCCATCGGGAAGGGGGGGTCCTGGCAGTGACCTGGCCTCGGGGGTGGGAAAGGACTCGGCTGTGAACAGGTCTGCAGAGAGGGGCAGGCGGCTCCTCTGAAAAACCACGTCCTGTAGCTGGTTGGGCCAGGTCACGGGCGCACGTTAGAAGCAAAAAGAGCTGGAAGCCAGGCCCAGATGCGCCCTGTGCCCCCATAAGCCCTTTCCAGCAGCCGTCTGGTGTCCGAGGCCACTGTGCCGAGGGGCCACAACGGGAGTGCCAGGCGGTGCCCTGCAGCCCGTGGGAAGCCAGTGGCACGGCTGGGTGGGGGGCTGGCCGGGACTGGGGAGCCCTGGGGGGCGGGGGAGAGGTGGCAGCCTAAGTCGAAGCCGACCTGGCCACACCTCTTGGGTTCCCCAGGGGCCCCACACTCGCACGAATGGAGAGATGGAAATGGCGGGGCTGTAGGCGAGCCCCCCGAGAGGCCAGGGCTGCCCGTCCCCTCCCCTTGGGTGGAGCCGTGGAGGCCCCTGCGGGCCGTCGCGGTGGGCCGCCTCCTGCATGCAGCCTCTGCCTGGGGTTGCGGGGACCCAGCCTGGTCTGCGCAGCCGCGCCTCTCACGCGCCGAGGAAGACGGCGCTGAACTGCGAGCCGGCGAGCACGGTGACGGGGGAGCTGCCGGCGTTGTCCAGGAAGACGGAGGTGTACTGCCTCCTCTGAGGAAGGGGGAGGGGGTGTCAGCCAGGCCTGCCGGCCACACAGGGTCGGGCCCCTCCCGGTGCCTTCCCCGCACGGGAGCGAGCCCCCCTCAGGGCCAGCAAGGGCTCCGGGGCCCAGCGGGCCTCTCCGCACTGCGGCGTTCGGAGCCTGGCTGGCTCCACCCAGGCTGAGGGTGGCCCTGCCCCACTGGCCTGGCCACTGACCTGTCTGCCAAGGCCATCGTGGGACCGACCAGTCCTCTGGCCTGGCCACCCCAAATGAGGTCCACACACCAGCAGACCCCCTGGGGACCCCAGGCATTGCAGACTCGGGGGACCCACCAGGCCCCGGGCGCACCCAGAGCCCTCTGACTCCTCCCGGCCAGCTGCCAGGTGCCCAGGACCAGGCCAGACCTCCTTTCTGCAGCCGGGCCGCCCCTCCCGACAGCTGTGTGCGCTTGGGCAAGTTCCTTAGCCCTCCTGCGCCTTCTTGGTCCCGTTTGTAAACGGGAGTGACCATGAACTAGGTCACCTATGCAAAGCGCTTGGGGCCGGGCACGGCGATAATTAAACGGTTGTTGTCCGCACGTGCAGGCGCCATTTCTCATGGGCCCCACCTCTGCGTCACCCTTGACGACTTGCCCAAACCCCCCCACTAGAGGGAGACTGCCACTGAGGGTCCTGAGTGGGAAATGACCTCGTGCCCTGCTTCCCGCGGTGGCAGGGGCTCCCAGGTCACCAGGGGGTCAGCCTGGGCCTGGGAGCTGACCCCCCGCCGCCACCACCGGGAGCACCAGCCCCCAGTGAGGGACTCGGGAGGTCTCCAACCTGGAGACGGGGGCCTGAGGGCTGTGCTGCGGCCCCAAGCCTCCCCCAGGCCTGGCGTCAGGGGCCGCACCCGGAGCTCCTGAGCAGCCGCCAGCCCCCCTCCCTGCCAGGCCGCTCCCCGGCCGCGCCCGGGGGGCGCGGGGGGGGGGGGGCGACGCCGAGCCGGCTCCGCACCTTCAGAAACAGAACGCCGTTCACGGAGACGGTGAAAGGCTCCGTGCCAGCCGGCCGGCTCATGATGGTCTCCAGGGAGCTGCGGCCAGAGCAGGAAGGGTCAGCCCGGGCCCCCCGCTGCAGACGCCCCCACGTGCTCCCAGCGGACACAGGGCCCAGCACAGTGCCAGGGAGGGAGCTGTCCGGACAGGTCTGGCGGACGCGGTATCTGAACTGGGTCCCCCAAAGGAGGCCAGTCTCCCTAGAACCAAAGGCGCCGAGGGCCAGGAGAGGGGCGTGGCCCAGGCCCGGGGCGGGGCGCAGCACCCCGGGAAGCCCCATCAGGCCGATGTGGGGGGCTTGCAAAACCAGAGGGAGAAGTTCTGAACTTCATTCCTTCATGCTTTCTCCAGCTATTGCCAGCTCCTGCCTGCCGCGACCAGGTGTGGCGGGAAGGGGGGCGTGGTCCGCGCAGTGAGGTTCACCGGGCGGGTGGAGAGCGAGCGGAGCGGGGACTCGGAGTGGTCAGGAAAGGGCTCTCCGAGCAGGGGGTCCGCGCCTGCTCCCGGGGGCGGGGGCGCGGGCGCGGGGTCCAGGGAGCTTGGGGATGTGCTTCTGAACAGGCAGCCCCACCTGCTGCCGGGAAGGGAGCGCTGGGGTCTCCCAGGCCACAGCGGCTGTGGGGATGGGGGATGCCCGGTCCGCTGCCCGAGCTGCTCCCACCCCACCTCCGCGCCCACTCACGTGTTTTGCTGGCACCGGGACTGCATGCAGATGAGCAGGCGCAGACGGCCCCGGGGGCGGGGCAATTCGGGCCTCCGCAGCTCTGGGAGGGCTTAGAGGGGGTAGGGCTAGTCACCGCCCCCGCCCCCCGCCCCCCAGCCCCCGCCCCGCCCGGCCCACAGCCTTCCCCCGCAACCTACCCCTGCCCCGGGCCTCACCCACGTGCAGAGTGGCGGCGAATGCGTAGAAACCGGGGATGGACACCGTGTACTGGCCGCTGGTCAGGTTCAGGCCGGGGCCGCGGTAGAAGGCTCCTTCGGCCCGGGGCTGCGGGGCGCACACACGGTCACCCGGGGCCCTGCGCCGCCCCCCGCCCAGCCGCTCGGCGCAGACTCACCAGGTAGTAGCCACCGAGTTCGTGCAGCGCGCGCCGCTCCACCGACACGTTCTGGCGCAGGCGGCAGTGGAACGCGGCCTCCACGATGCGGGCCCGCCCGCCCTGGTTCAAGGCCTGGATCAGCAGGGCCACCACAGACGGATCCGCCTCCTCCTCCTCGTCCTCCGCGGAGGGCCGGCGCTCCGCGTTCTGGCGCTCCGCGATCTGGCGCTCGGCGTTCTGGCGCAGCCGCTCCGCCGCAGCTGCCACAGAGCGAGCGGTGGCTGCGCGCCCAGCGCGCCGAGCCCTCCCTCCCGTGGCCCTCACCCCCCGAACCCCTCACGGGAGACCCCTCTAAGCCTGCAGCTCCCGCAGGCACGGTGCCTGCGGACCCCGCCGCTGCTTTGTTTCCGGCCACGCTTCGGCCACCGGGAAGCTCAGGGCAGACACAGTCAGCGCCCCTGCCCGCTTCGCCTCCCTGCGCTACCAGCACGGCCCCTTCCGCGCTGTTGCCTCCGATCACGGTGCTACTGTATTGGCGACGGCAGCCCTATCCGCCAGCCCCCTCATTTTTGGAAGGAAGCTGAGTGTAAGTAATTACTGGAGCTCTACTGGAAACAGTAGTTGCCGTTTCTTCGAAGCTGCTGCTGTGTTTAAGTGAACCCGAGAGGGACTCAAGGGGGAGAGGCTCTGTCACCAGGCTCTGCGTAACACGGCGAACCTGGTAAGTCCTGCGAGCGCTGGCCACGGTGCCGGACACCGCCGGTGCGCTCCGCTCTGCTGCCCCCTGCTGTGCCCTCCAGCTCAGCTACCCAGCCTGGCAGGGCGACCCGGGGCTGCCGGCCTGGGCCCCACGCGGCGCTGTCCCCCCTGGTGCCCTGCCAAGGGGCTGCGTGCTGGCAGCTGAGACCCCTCGGGGAGGCCGAGGTGACGAGGGGGAGAAGTTGGGGGCCGCCCTCGGCAGGCCTGTGTCGACTGGGGGGAGCCTTGAATCGCCCTGGTGTGGCAGGGGAATCAGAGGGGCACTTTGAAAGCTCAAGGGGCCCCTGCGCTCCTAGGACTATCCCCACTTGAGGGGTCTGAGGTCAGGTCTCCTGGCCTTCCCTGGGCTCCCCCGACTTCCAGGTGGGGCGTGGGTGCCCGAGCACCCACTGAGCACAGAGCAGCCAAGTCCATCTTTCCCTGTGGAGCCGCCTCCTCACCAGCTCCGGCCCCCACCCCCTCCCGCCCGCCCGCAGGGGTCTGCCCCGCCCCCGCAGGCAGGAGACCTGAGCCCAGAGGGGTGGCCCTACCTTTCAGCAGCTGCTGCCACTTCTGCCGTCCCTCCAGCAGTTCTTCCAGCGGGACCGGGACCGCGGTGCTGCAGGGCTCCCGGGGCTTGGGCGGGCTGGGCTGGGAGGGGAACCGGGAGTGAGGGCACCTGAATCGGCCGGCTGGGACCCGTGGTCACCCCCCACTAAGGCAAGCAGAAGGGGCTCCCACTTTGACCTCTGACCTCTGAGGTAAAGGTCAGCCTGGGGGGGCGGTGCTCAGGCTCTGCTGAGAAGGCAGTGAGGGTCCCTGCTTTGACGGCTGTCCTCCCGGGCCAGCCGGGGCCCCCCCGCCCAGGACGCAGAGGGAGGAGAGAGCGGGCAGCCGGTGGGGTGCCTGGCATTGCAGGGGCGCGGAGCGAGTGGAAGGAACGGGCTGCAGACTCGGGGCCACTTGGGCCCCCGGCTTGATGCACCCGTCGCTCTCTGACCCCAGGCCACGGGGGGGGTCTGTGCTTGGTGATGTGGTTGGGGTGTGCCCGGGGAGGGGCCGGCGAGGGGTGCAGGGGTGAGGGTGGTGGCCTGGGGGTTCGGGGAGGGCCCGCAGGTGCACGCACATGCGTGCACACACATGCACACCCGCAGGCTGGGGCCCCCCTGCTCACCTTCGACTTCTGGTCTTGGCTTCCGTCCTCCTCGTCACTGTGCTTGAGGAACCACAGCCAGGTGTCCCGGGGGTTCAGGCTGAGGGCCGGCTGTGTGGTGGGCTCCTGGAACACAGCCGCCCGCAGCACCCTCGAGTTCCCGTCCTTGTTGACGGTGAGGGCCTCGCAGCACGGCCCCCGGGGACGACCCCCGGGGACCAGGCCACAGGACCAGGCCACGCTGCGACTAGGACTTCGTGGAAGAAGGGGCCCCGGTCTGGGCGGAGGGAGACCAGGGCAGAGCTCTGCAGCCGGCAGGGCCCGGGCTCCTTCCACCTCCCCCCACGGGGCAGTTACTCAGAGGGTCCGACTGCTGAGACCCAGAAGCACCCAGGAAGAGCCAACTGATTACCAGGGTCTCCAGCTACCAGCAGGCCCCCCACCCCACTTCCACCCTCCGAAGTCCCAGGGGGCTGGACTTCAGCCCCTGGGCCAGGGCGGCCGGCTGGGGGCTTGGGGGGCCCGGGACTGGGGTGTCAGGACTCCAGGCCTGGACACAGGGCGCGGCGCTGCCCATTTCCTCAGGACGGCGGCCTGCGCCAGGCCGGGGACGGCCCCGGAGGCGCTCTGACCAGTCGGGACTCCGAGGGAAGCTCCAGGGAGGAACCTTCTGGGGGGAGGCCTTTGGCCTGCAGGCGGCGGGCCTCAGGGGGCCAGCTCCGGGCAAGGCGGCCAGCTGGGAAGGACACTGGCCTGAAGGCTCTGATGAGGTCACGGGCACTGACTCCGGTGGCCGATGGGAGGGCCCCGGGTCTTAGAGCCAGGCGGGTCTCCCACCACCGCCAGGCCTGGTGGCCTCGTGGGGACTCTGCAGGGACCCGGGTCCCCCTTCACGAACCACCATGCTGCTGGGGGGGGGCGTGGGGGTTCCCATGGGAGGAGGCCCAGGGGCCTCCGTCCCTCTCAGGCTTCCCCGTGTCTCCCTGGGTGGTGGGCCCTGCGGGGCCCGACCTGCTGGCTGCTCACCAGAAGCACCGGGACCTGGGTCCCACCTCACCGTCTCACACCGCCCGGGGGTGGCCCATGGCCGGGGTCCCTCGGGGCTGCCTGGGCAGGTGGGCTGGCCCTGTCGGACAGCCGGCCCTGGGGCCTGTGCCTGGACCCGGGCCCCAGTGTGCCTCCGTGGGGGCAGAAACAGGCAGAGGCACTTGGTCTGGGGACCTAGGAAGGGCCTGCTGCGGGGTGGGGGTGGGGGGCGCGGCAGGGGCGTCGGTGCTGGCAGCTGTCCTGGCTGACAAAGGTCTCCAGCCTTAGGGGCTCCACCTTGGACCCCCAAAGAGGGTCCAAGACCAGAACCCCACCTGGAAGCACCCCAGTCCCCCCTGTGCTTCCTGGCAGTGTATCCCCGACATCCAGCTGGCTGCCCTGCCCCTCGGGGTGCGGCTGGCCAGGAGGGGTCTGCCTGCGACCCCTGGGCAGGCACCGAGGTGGGAAAAACACGGCTGCAGGGAGGTCCCTCCCAGGGAGCTGAAGGGCTGGCCGCCACCCCCGCGGGTGGGGTGTCCCTGGCCCAAGGGGTGCTGGGCGCAGAGGCACCGCCCACGGCCCCACGGCTGCTCCGCCCGTTGTCCAGCCCCCAAGCATCTTGATCCCACGGGACCCGAACCACCTTCTCAGCTGCTCTGCTGCTGGGAAAGGTCGCACCCCACCCCCCACCCCACCCCACCCCACCCCACCCCACGGAGGGCTCCCCCGCTTCCCCAACCTGAGTGCCTCCACCCCAGCTGGGAGGGAGAGGGCAGGGCGGGGAGCTAGAGATGATGCCTTCCCGTCCAGAAGTCCCCGTCACTGGGGAGTCTGACCCCCCACACACACACACACTTCCTTCCCCCAGACCCGCAAAAAGGTAGTTGTGTGTCCCAGGGAACCCCACCACGCGGGTGGGGGAGGGGTCGGTCATGTGCTCACACTTCTTTCCAGTGTCGTGAGAATCAGGCTACTTCCACTTACTCCCCAGCTTCTTTCTGTCCCCGAAGTAACGGCATGTCCCCTGGCCTGGCGGAATTTTGCTTTGGTGCCGAAGGAGACTCCCAGGAGCCGAGGTCAAGGCTGGCCTTGCGGTATGGGTCCGGGCAGAGGGGCGGCGCCCAGCCCCCCTGTCTCCCCGGGGCCCGGCAGTGCAGCGTCTCGATCCCCACGTTAGAAAGGGGGGCATGCCCGGCGTCAGTCCGGCCCCGGCCCGCCCTCCCCGCCGCCCTCCTCCTTCGCTGTGCCCCGGACCGCGGCAGGCTCCGGCCGGGGAAACTGAGGCCCGGAGGTCCCCGCGGCGAGGGGGCGGGTCGCGGTCACGGCAGGCGTCTTACCGGCGGGCGGGTGTCGAGACTCGGGCGGCTCTCCAGGGCGACCGCGGGCGGCACCTTCTCCGGCCTCGGCTTCTGGCGGGCGCGGCTCCTCGCGGGCGCACCGGGGTCCCGGGCCCCGAGGGCGGCGGCGGCCAAGAGGCAGAGGCAGAGGAGCAGCAGGCGGGCCCGGGCGGAGGCCATGTGGGCGGCGGTCCCTCTCGGCTGCAGCGCGGCGTCTGGGAACCCAGCGCTCTCGGACTCCGCGCCTTTATATATAAAGCGCTCGAATCCCCCGCCTGGCTCGGCCGGCCTCCCGCCGCGCGCCCCCTCCCGGCTGGGGCGCGCGCTGCAGCGGGGGCGTGTGAGGGCCCGCGGGGCGGGCGGTGCGCCCGGGAGGGTGGGGTGCCCGCAGGGACTCCTCCGGGGCTCACTCGGGGGCGGGGGATACTCCCTCGTGGTGGCCCGCGCGCCCCCTCCTGTCGAGCGCGTCTCTGCTCCAGCGCCGACTCCGGGTTCTCTCCCTGCGCGCTGTCCAGCACTCCTGTTTCAGGGAGCCCCTTCTCCTGACGGTGGACCCTTCGCTTTTTCTCCGAAAAAACAGGGCACCCTCCTCGCCCGGCCCTGGGGCATCTTTTCTCCCCAGCGCCCCGAGAGGTCCGGTCAGAGCACGAAGACCCTCAGAGCCCCCTTCCCAGGAGGGGACTCCCCGCTCTGGGCTGCCTTCTCCCATGGCTTGGGGATGTGGGGTTTATTTTATTTAATTAGTTTTGTTGGAGAGGGAAAGGGAGAGAGACACGGGTTTGCTGCTTCCCTTACCGATGCGGTCATCGGTTGCTTTCTTGTATGTGTCCCGATGGGAGATTGAACCCGGCACCTCAGCATAACAACCCTATGGGGACCGTGCTGTAGCCAGCTGAGCCACCCGGCCAGGGCTGGGGTGGGGGGGGTGCTTGGTTCTTCCCAACCTGGGGGCCCCTGCAGGGACCTGGAAGGTGTCCCCCAGAGCCAGCCCTGCACTGTGCTGACGGGGGTGGACGAGACCGAGGCCGGGAGAGCTCGGCCCTGTGATGACTGACCAGGGTGCGGGGCTGCCCTCTGCCCACGGGGACCGCTCAGGACACCCGGCTGGGACGGGGGGACCAGCGCCTGCAGCCTCAACTCCAGGCCCGTCCCTGAGAAGAGCCACCCCTCGTCCAGCGGGGGCCCATGGTTCTGTTACATGCTCCAGACACGAAGTGTCCGAACCCGTGGATGATTTTTATGAGTTTGTTTGAGCCAAACTGAGAACAATGCTGGGAAGATGAAATCTCAATGAACTGAAGAATGCTCCAGAAAATAGAAGCTTTACAGCTTATGTTACGTTAGAATCAGAGGAGGAGGCCTCAGAGGGTGACATGAGATCTATGGGTGTTAGGTTAGAGGGTTCAGGAGAAAATAAACCGGGGGACCCCTGGGATTGGAGGAAGAGTGAAACACAGAGGCACACCCCTCTTTCACCTCGGCGGGGAGGGTGGTTGGCGGCGAGCGCTCCCAACCCACGGAGGTGGGGTGCGGGGACCGGCCCCCGGCCCCCGGCCCCCAGCCCCCAGCCCAGGCCCAGAGTCAGGTGCTCCGGTGCGGTGGGCGGGCCCGGAGGGGCCTGGGGAGGAGATTACCCTGACATTCCCAGGCGGGCTCAGCTGACGTAAAGCCTGACCTTTGTCAAGGAAGCCACAGGCCCAGGCTGTGCCCACCCGTAGGACTTGGCTTTTAATCAGGAAGTTCAGTGTTCAGACCCCCGGTTACTCCGGTCTCTGCGTTTGTAGGGCCCCCTCTGCTGGTGCCCCTGAGCTCGTCGGGCTCAGCGTGCGGCCCCTTTTCTGTCCACGCGTGCCCCTTTGGGTCACAGGTCAACCCGAAGGACGTGCTGATGACCAACCACGTGGCCCCGCGGAGCCGGGAAGGCCCCTGTCCAGTGTCTGTCTGGCGGAACGACAGCCCGTGGTGGGTAGGGCAAGACCGAAACCTCGGGTGGAAGTTTAAGGCCAAATTTTCCTCAAAAGGGAAAGGCAGGTGAACGTGAGGCTGTACATTCCCGTGGGCCTTCATTCAGAAGGACCCCCCCAGCCCTGGCCGGCGTGGCTCAACGGCTTGGGTGTCGCCCCGCAAAGCGAGAGGTCGCCAGTTCGATTCCCATCAAGGCGCACACATGCCTGGGATGCAGGTCAGGTCCCTGGTTGGGGCTCCGTATGAGAGGCAGCTGATCAATGTTTCTCTTTCTTCCTCCTTTCCTCTTTTTCCAAAAATAAATAAAATGTAAAAATATATCTAAAAAACACAATAAAAACACTCTGGATCACATCTGAACGCCCTCACCACCCAGCTCTGCCGCCTGTCTCAGTCTCCCGTGTCCCTCATCTAGGACGACATTTACTGGGCGTTGGCGGGCACCCGAGACCGGTGCTTGGTTTTCCCAGTCCGGCCGGGAGGTGACGGCAGCGGTGGATCTGAACACGGGGTGTCCCGGCCCATGGGACGTGCTCAGGTGTCACCTGACTCCTGCGGGTCCAGCAACCGGGAGCGGCAGCCCTAGGTTCGGCCGGGGCCAGGCCGTCAGGACCCAGCGCTGCGACCACAGTGACCGCCTGCAGAGCCCCAGAGGCCGGGTGCAGGCCCGGAGCTTGGCAAGGACGGTCCCTGCCCCGTGGTGGCCCTGCGGGGGTGGGGGGGCCCTGTCAGCCTTCTCTGGGCCGCTGGCACGAGGGAGCGGTCCCTGCAGGGCTGGGGGTGCCCCGCGATCGTGTCTGACGTGTGTCTGTGTCAGGAACATCCCAACCTGCAGAGGACGTTTGTGACTTTGTCTGACCGAACTGATGTCAGTTGCCGGGAAGCGGAATCTCAGTGGGTTGAGCAAATGCCCCGGGGAAGGGCGGTTTCACGCCTTGCTGTATACTCCAGACGCAAGGGAGGAGAGGTGGGGGGCAGCACGTGAAGCCCACCACCGGTGGGGGGAGGGCAAAGTGGGGGGAGAGGCTCTGGGCCCGGAGGGGCGCCGCTCCCCGCTCGAGGCCCGTTGGGGGTGCAGAGCGCCGGGAGACGGGGTGCGGGAACAGGCCGCCGCCCGCGGGGCTGGAGCCGCCCGGCGCCCTGACGTGGCCTGGAAGAGGCGGTCACTCTGACGTTCCAAACGTGTGCGGTCCGAGGGGCAAAAGGACAGCGGCCTCCCTCGCTCCGCTGAGGCGGACACTGACTACCTCCGTGACTCACTGGTGACCGGGAACGTGGACGTGCAGGTCGCCGCGGGGCCGGTACAGGTCTCTGCGCGGGTGAGGCCGGCGCACCGGCCTCCCCGGAGCACGGCGGGGTCAGTGCGTGGCCCCCTCTCTGGCCGCGCCTTCATGCAGAAGATTCCCTCTGCAGCATTCCCGCGACACCGTCCTTCTGCAGCGGCCCGCGTCCCTGTTAGCTTACTCCTTCTGCTCGTTCAGAAGGAGCCAGCTAGTCCTGGCTGCTGTGGCTCAGCGGGCTGAGCCCCGGACTGCGAACCTGAGGGTCGCTGGTTCGGTTCCCAGTCAGGGCACGTGCCTGGGCTGTGGGCCAGGTCCCCAGTAGGGGGCGTGTGAGAGGCAACCACACATTGCTATTTCTCTCCTTCTCTTTCTCCCTCCCTTCTCCTCTCTAAAAATAAATAAATAAAATCTTTTTTTCTTTAAAGAAAGAAGTAATCAAATACTAGGACAAGTTACTGCCTTTCAACTCCTCTCAGAAACACATACACCCCTTGCCTTCCTTCTGCAATAACATTCCTTCTACATTTTCCAAAGTGGAACCAGGAAGAGTGTTATTGATCGTACAGAGGGGATACGCCATTGGCAGTTAGTAACGGTTGGGCTATACATAGGAGGTTTGAGGAAGGCCCAAAGTACCCTGGCTGGTGTGGCTCAGTGGATTGGGTGCCTGCCTGCGAACCACAGGGGCATGGGTTCGATTCCCAGTTGGGGCACATGCCTGGGTTGTGGGCCAGGTCCAAAGAACAAGCATAATGGTTGTTATGACTAACGTTGTTAGTGGACAAGTAAAGATAGTCAAGCAAATGTTATTTTTATTTTGTTTTTTTTTAAAGAAAATATCATTTTAAAAGACTTTATTTATTTATTTCCAGACAGAGGGGAAGGAGACAGACAGAAACACCAATCTGTGGTCACCTCTGGCACAACCTCTACTGAGGGCCTGGCCTGCAAACTAGGCCTGTGTCTTGCCCGGGAATCGAACCGGTGACTCCCTGCTCAACGAGCCTGCGCTCAACCCACTGAGCTATACCGACCAGGGCAATCAAGGGGTTTTTAAAGCTCAACATCAATTTGTAGGGATGCAGGTCCTGCCGATGTCTTCGTACAGCTCTCCATCTCTGATGTCGGTGGCTTCTCAGCCTCCAGAAATCTCTGGCCCTCGCCGTAGGTGGGGTCAAGGGCCAGAGACGGGAGCCAAGTGCACTCGAGGCTGGCCCTGACACGGTCCTTTCCGGCGAGGCCGGAGAGCGTCTTGAACTGACGTGGGCTCCAGTGAACGAGAGTCCCCCGGTTGTGAGCCCGGTCTCTGCGGTCGCTGAGGCCCGGCGGTGCGCCCTGAAGGGGGACCCCTGCTGATTCACCCACTCCCTGAGCCGGGTGGTGCGTCCTTGTTAACGGCGCGGGAGGTCACTCCTGCGCCCCTTCCTTCGGATGCACGGGGCGGCCGGGGCTGGCTCTCCGGCAGACGGCTGCTCACCAGAAGCGACAGGCCTCGGGCGGGGACGGCCCTGGCGCTACCTCAGATGGACAGACGACCGACAGGCTCGGTGACGGAAAGACTGACCTTTGTGGAGGAAGCCCCCGGGCCGGGACGTGACTCCCTGCCCTGCCCTGCTCCTAGTCAGGGAGTTTCGTGGTCGGCTGGCCGTGTGGGCGCTCTGAGTGTGTGAGGCCCCCTGGACTCGTCGGGGTTAGTGCCCGGCCCCTGGTCCGTCCGCAGTGCCTGCCCCTGCCTGTCCCCCTCCCCGAGGTCAGGGCACGAGAGCCGCATCCCGAGCTTTCTGTGCCCCCACCCCCACCCCCGCCCTGGGCTGCAGCACCTGGCGGGCACACGGCCCATCGCGTGCAAGCCCGGGGGGCGGTCCGGCGGGGGAACGCACTCTCCACGGGCCTGCCGTCCGCACCGCGGGACGGTGCTGGCCTCTCTGGAGAAGAGAGGGAGCCCACCGAGTCTCTGCCACTCAGCCCCTCGCGCCCTGGGCCGGCGCTGGCCTCCTGCCCCTGCCGGCAAGCGGGGGGTGCTCTGCCCTTAGGGAAGAGCCCGGCCTTCAGACGGACAGTGCGAAGCCGGGCACATTCCCTGGCCCACGAGGCCACCTGCTCCCACCCGCTCACGGCTCGCCCCTAGGCCCTGGGTGCGGGCTGTGAGCTCCAGGGTCAGCTGGAAGATTTCTGAAGAAACACAGCCCTGCCCTTGACCCAGGAAGCAGGTGCCCCACGTGGGGGGGTGGCCGGGGGTCTGGCTGTGAGGGCGGCCCGGGGAAACACGCGTGCCTGCCCTTCTTGAGCCCGGGGGCTGCTCCACAGAGCGGCCTCCCCCTGGGGTGAGTGGAGCCCCACGCAGGAAGCCCCACGTGGCGGGGGACACGGCTCTGCTCGGTGCCGGCCAGCCCGGGGATCCTCGGGGTCTCAGCCCCCCACCCCCCATGCTGGGGTCGAGGCCCGGGAGCCCGGGGCCTTGCTCTGGAGGGGGGGCTGCATGCACGGTGGGTGCTGTGGGGCCGAGAGCGGGGCCCGCCCACCTGAGCGCTGCGGCTCCCCGGGCGAGCGGCACTACGCCACGTCGGTGTCCTCAGACAGAGGCTCTGGGCCGTGGGCGCGCGGTCACGGCGCCCGGGGGACCCGGCGGTGGCTCTGCTCAGCAGACCGGGCCCCTGTGTGGCCGTCCAGAGCGAAGGTCGGAGGGGGCACTGCAGGAGGCACATCGAGGCCGTCCAAGGCTCAGTGTGCTGGTCTGCAGAGTGGGCGCGCTGACCTTGTCTGGGGAGCACTCGTGAGGGCCAGGAGGCGGTGGTGCGCACCCCCGGCCCGGACGCCAGGGTGCTCGGGGCCTGGGGACCTGGGGTCCTGTGCCCAGGAGCACAGGGCATGCTGGTCTCGGGGCCAGATGCCACATGGCCCGACCTGCACCCTGGGAAGGGGAGGGGAGGCCCTGCCACCTTGGCGACACCGGCAATGTGTGGGGACAGAGAGGGCCAATTTGAGGCACAGGTGACCCTAAGATTCTGTGGGACATCAGCGCCACCTCCCCGTGGGGGGGCCTTGGCTACCTGAAGCTGGCGGGGAAGACCCCAGCCATCGCCGTGTGCAAACAACGGTTCTCCCCGAACGGTGAGCAGGGCTGGTGCCGTCAGAGGGCCCAGATAAACCGGTTTCTCTTCAGGGCAGCTCCATAACTGTCCGAGGTGACGACACAGCCTGGCCCGGAGCTGCAGGAGAGGGCGGGGGTGGGGGGGATGGCCTTCAGGTGGACCCCCCTGCATGTCTCTGAGGTCGTGTGGCAAACCCACGTCCGTCAGAGGAGGCTGGGGCTTCGCAAAGAATCCCACAGGCCGGGAGCCCCCCGGAACAGGGCTCCTGTGGCACCAGGCGCCCCTCCTCCACAGCAGCCCACAGGGCCACGGCGGGGACACATGGGGGGTCCCTGCACCCCAGAGTGGAGGTGCTGAGCTGGGGGCACAGGGCGGGGCCTCGGGGTGGTGGCCCCTTCGAGCCGCCAGGCCCGGCTGACAACTGACCCTCGTCCCTGGGCCCAGCGGCCGGGGCTGGCACGCTGTCCCCACTCCGCCCTCCGCATCCCCAGGAGGGACCTCGGCGGGTGAGGTCCTGGGAACCCCGGCTCCCTTGGCGCCCGAGAGTGGGCGGAGCCTGAAGTCCGCTCGCTGTGCAGCCTCCCGCGTGCAGGCCGGCGGCGGCCGTTGCTGGTTCCCAGAGCCTTCCCATCGGGTGACGTCATGCCGTTCTCAAGTCACGTGACTGTGCCCCCCCCCCCCCCCCCCCACCGATGAGGACGCGGAGGCTCAGACTCTGGGCTGGCCTGAGGTCCCGACGGACGCCTCCGCAGGAAGCCTCGTGGGGTCGCCCCGCCCCCGCCCCTGGAGGTCGTCAGGGTCCCCCGGGAGCCCGGCGCCTCAGTTCGGCTCCGCGAGAGCTCGCTCAGGGCCCTTGCGTGCCGGCTGCAGGCCCCCGGGCGGACTCCTCCTCCCTCCCCCTGCCCAGGGCCTCTCTTGGGTTTTCTGTTCATCGTTATCCTGCCTCCAATAGATTAATTCTTAAAAACTTGACTTCAGTTCACCGCTCAGTTTAATGCACAAGGGTGGACATCCGTGGCGCAGTTTGCCATGTTGTTAAGAATCGAATTCTTTTTTTTTTTTAAGATTTTTTATTTATTTATTTAGAGGGGGAAGGGAGGGAGAAAGAGAGAGAAACATCACTGTGGGGTTGCTGGGGGCCGTGGCCTGCAACCCAGGCATGTGCCCTGACTGGGAATCGAACCTGCGACACTTTGGTTCGCAGCCCGCGCTCCATCCACTGAGCCACGCCAGCCAGGGCTTAGAATCGCATTCTTAAGTGTGAGCCTGTCTCGCCTGGGGACAGAGGGGCACCGAGCCCAAGCTGGCTGTGACCAGACAACCCGGCCCCTGGCCTGGACGACCCCGGGAGGGTCTATGAGGACGTCACGTGGGCCCTGGGGTGTTCGTGCCACGCAGGGAAGGACCTCCCCCACGACGGTCTCATCACGGTCTGGGTCACTCTTCAGTCCTCAGCTGGACGCCTGGACGCCCCCCGGGCGCCGGTAGGTTCCGCGTTAAGTGCAGCACGGCGCAGCAAACCCGCCTCGCCGCGGGAGGGCTGGAGTGAGCCGGAGTCCCTCCGCGGCGTGGAGGTCAGCGTCGGCCACCGTGAGCCGTCAGGTGACCGCTTCCTTTAATCACGGACATTTCCACGGGGTGTCCACCGCCCGACTCTGGTGATCGCTGCTGGCGCCCAGTCCCGGGACACGCTCAGCGATACGAGGGTCTCTTCTGGGACGTCCTGGACAACCCGGGTTCCATGGCGGCGGCCGGAAACGTCCCCGCACCCACCCTGACTCGCTGACGGGTGCTGACCGGCGCTGAGCCCAGGCGGGCTGTGCTGGGCTTGGCTACAGGGGACACTGGGCGGTCGCCGAGGGCTGGGGGCTGCTGGGTGGGGGGTGGTGCCTCAGTTTACCCAACGTCGTCTGCGGGAAGGACAACAGGCGCCCACCCGGCAGACACGAGCACCCCGGGGCGGCAGAGGTGCGCCCCCTCCCGCCACCCTGCCGTGGGCCCGGGGTTGGGTGGGCTCGCGCAGGTGTTCCGGGGCTGCCCGCGCCCACACCTCCCCAAGAGTCCTCGTGTCCCGGGGGGCTCTGATGGGGGAAGCGGGTGGCTCAGCTTGCTCTGGGGACACTCCTTGCGTGGATGTGACATTCCTGTCCTTTGGCAGGAGTGCCTGGGAGGGTTTGGTGCTTGGCTACAGGGCTGCCGTGGGCCCACGTGGCTGTGTGGCCGCCACGCACAGTGACCACGGCCTGTACCTACCCCCCCTGATTCTGGCTGGGTGTGGCTGGAGGAGGGACTGTCGGGGGATGGGGGCAGAAACGAGAGTGAGGCCGGGTCCCTGCTCCACCACCTCCTCCCCAGCGGGTCTCGGGGGGCAGGTGGCAGTGGCCGAATCCACCCCTGACCCCGCTCCCTTTCGGGAGCCTGCTCCTGCCCTGTCCCTTGTCCCTGGGGCAGGGGGGCGGTGACAGCTCCGCTGGCCCTTGGGTGTCTCCCCAGTCCTCGCCCACACCGTGCAAACAGCCCTGATTACACCCTCTTCCGTTGCGGGGTCTCGTGTTTCCTCTGGGGACCCCGGAGGATACAGTTAGCCTGATCCAGGGGTCCCAAATAGGGCCCCTCAGCGATCAGGGCCCCCACGCAGGGACGGCTCCCCACTGCCGGGGGTGTGCAGGGCCGGAGGTCCGCCTGGCGCCGGGACTCTGCCCGTTCAAGGTCAAGGTAAGTCTGTCCCTGCCCCCTGGGCCTGCGTTGTGAAGCAGCCCCTGGCTGGGCACCTTCAATAAACGTCTGGAAAACACTTCCCAGAACTTTCACCCAGAAGATCCAGGGGTCCCAGCAACTGCACCCTCTCTTCCACCCACTCCGCCCGCCGCACAGGGGCCCTGGGTCTGGAGCAGGCGCCCCTTTGGGAGCAGACGCCCGGAGGCCCCTCGGCGCCTGGGGCCTGGGTGCGAACTCGCTGTCCCACGAGAACTGGGCAGAAGCAGCCGGTCTGGGAGCAGAGCTGGCCTGACCTGCAGGAGCTGGGGCCCAGGGACCCGTGCTCAGAGCCAGGCTGCCAGCAGCGCCTCTGGGCCCCAGTGGGCTCAGAGAGGAGCCCGGGGCCAGAGGGAGAGAGACTGGAGCGCCCCAGGGCCCCAGCCGGGCAGTGCGGGCTGCAGCCGGGCTGGGCCCGGGGCCCGTGTCCCTGACAGAGCCTGTGACAAAGCCGGAGGGCCACTCAGCACCCGGTGAGAGTCCTTCAGCGTGTCCTCGGTGACAGACACAGACACCCCTCACTCGGGGTGAGTCAGGAGCAGCGGGAAGCCTGAGCCAGCCTGCGTGAGGCCGTCGGCCCCAGGGCTCAGCGGCTGGCCCGTGTCCCCGGAGGCGTGCTCTGCTGGCCGGAGGTAGGGCTCACCGCTGCCCTCGCCCAGGGGGCTGCCGGGCAGGAAGCCACCGACGTGCCCGAGGGGCCTCCCAGGAAATCCCGGCAGCATGCTGCCCGGGCCTCCCCGGGGGCTTCTGTTCTGACTCACGGCTTTGTCGGGAGCGAGCCAGCCCGAGAGACGGAAAACCCTGGCTGGAAGGGCCGCCGTGTTCGTCTGCCCTGGGAAGCCTTCACTGACCACCCCCGCAACCCCCCAGCCCCCCAGCCCCTGTGCGGGCAGAGGGGCCCTGTCTCCCACTGCCTCGGCTGGGTGCTGCCCTCCTGGGGGCGGGGCTCGGAAAAGCTGGGCGGCAGCCCCCTTTGTCCCCAGAAGCAGCGCTTTGGGGTCCCGAGTCCAGGCCCTGCCGCCCGTCCACTCAGAGCTGGTGTGGTGGCCGGGGAGACGAAAACCAGGTCACTCTGACGTGCCCGGTGGCCCGAGCCCAGCCCCGGCCAGGAGCACAAACAAGCAGACATGCACGGGGGGGGGGGCCCCCCACCTCGGAGGTCGGCGTCCGCCGTGTCCCCGGCGCCTCGGGGGGCTCAGTGCCCCAGGGCAGGGCCGAAGGGCTGGCCCCACCTGGAGACGTCCAGGAAGACACTGGAGGCCCCGTGGTAGAGCCAGAGGCGGGGCAGGGCGCCGTGGCGGGTCCAGGCGTCGCGCCCGGGGTCGTAGGCCTCCATCTCCACGTGGTAGTCGCCGTCCATGCCCTGCCAGCGGCCCCCGGTCACGTACAGCGCCTCACCCAGCGGCACCAGGGCGCCGTTCTCGTGCAGGCTGTGCAGGGGCTGCACCTGCGGGCGGGCGGCCGGCCGGCGGTCAGGGCGCCGCGGGCGGTGGGGGGGGCGCGGCCGGGGCCCTGCCACTCCCCTCCCCCGCCAGGACCCCTGACTCCCCCTTCTCTGGGGAGACCCCACTGCCCCCTCTCCAGCCCGCAGCATAGGACACTGCTTCCAGCCCCCCCCTTCTCTCCTGGGCCCAAAGGTGCTCACTTCTGAAGGCCAGAGTGAGGGCAGGGGGGCCTGAGACCAGAACTGCCTCCCAGCGTGGGGCCCCGGCCGAGCCTGACTCCCAGCGGCTCCCTTGCAGGGACAGACGTGGCCTCAGCCCTGACAGACACCCGTGGGGGGGCCACTGGCCCCACGGCCCCTTCGCTGGGCCCCTGCACCGCCGGCCTTGGCCTGTGCCTCAGGGGTGCCCGGGACAGGGCTGTGGGTCAGGGCCAGCAGCCTGTCCGAGGCCCAAGAGGGACGTGGGCACTTCAGGCACAGCCCAGGGTGGGCAGCAGGGAGAGACTTGCCCTCGGCCCCCAGGTGAAGGCAGCCACGGGTGGCTGGCCCCGGACCTGGAGAGCCGGAGGGCAACCCTGCACGCTGGACCCCTGCCCAGAGCAGTGGTGTGAGCCGAGGCCCGGCAGAGAGGGCCCGAGGAGAAGGCCCCGCCTGGCAGGGCGCGCCTGGCACCTGTTGTGCGGCCGTAATGGGGACTCGGTGTCAGCTGAGCGCTGACGCCAGGGGACAGCTGTGGGCACGGGACCACGGAGGCCCCGTGTGGCCCGCTGTGCAGTCCGCCTGCGGTGGCTGCAGGAAGCACAGCCTCCCCCTCAGACCCCCAGGGACGGAGACTCTCTCGGCAGGCGGGACGGGCCCAGGGCATCCGACCACAGCTGAAGCCACTACGGGCTCCGGACGCTGTCCCTCCTTCTTCTCCGAAGAAACAGGAGGAGGGCCAGGGCTCTGGGGCCCCCGAGAGCCAGTTTCCAGACGCCCACCACCCACTCTCTCCCCAGGGCCAGTGGCAGGCAGGAAGCTGGCTACCCCCTCCTCACCCACAGCACCAGAATCTGCTCCCCGCTTGACTGCCCCCAGGGATGGGAGGCTCACTCCCTCTGGACCTGGCCAGCAGGAAGGAAGGGCTTTCTCTCGGCCCACAGCAGTTGTGAAGCACCCCAAGCTGAGCCTGGTTTCGCTTCCAACGGGGAGGGCAGGCCGCCCGTGCTGGGGTCAGGGCCCCCGGGGACCGCAGCCCCCTGCCCCCCGCCCTTGGCTCTGCCCTGCTCCCGGCCTCGGCCCAGGCTCACGTCTCCCTTCACCGTCCTCCCCGCACTGTCCTCCCCCCTCCCCACTGTGGTCAGGGGCCCCGGGGGCGTCCCCTGGGAGGCGAGGCCAAGGCCGAGGCCCACCTTCTGCCACAGGTTGGCCCCGGGGTCGTACACGTAGACCTTCTTGGTGTTGTCGCCGACCAGGTAGAGCGCCCCCTGCAGGGCGGCGCAGCGCGGCGAGGACAAGTACTTGGGGAGGAAGGGCGAGGCGATCACGCTCCACGCTTCTGCGGGGGACACCAAGGCCAAGGGGGGCCGCTGTCACCGGGGGGGGGGCTGGGCCAGCCGGGGCTCCCCCACCCCGAGGCAGCGCCCCATCTGAGACGGGGGAGGGTGTCCCTTTCCTGGGTGCTAGGAACCCCCTGTGCCCCCTGACAAGCCCCACTCTCTCTGGATGGGTGGGAGGATGCCGGGGACCTGGGGGCCTGGGGGCCTGGGGGACAGGCCGTCTCCAGCGCCTCACCCTCGGGGGCCCCCACGGGACCTTTACGGCTTCAGAGGCCCTGGCCTGGCGCCCCACCCCACCCCCGGCCCTGGGCCCCGCCCTCCCTCTCACCGAGCCGGGCCTGCGGCCACCCGCCCCCGTCCCCGGGGCGCCCACCTGTGACGGGGTTGTAGCACTGCAGGGCCAGCGCGTTGTACTTGCAGGCGCTGGAGCCCACCAGGTAGAGGCGGCCCTGGCAGCCGGCGGCCGAGAAGTTGCTGACGTACTTGAGGGCGGGGCTGACGGGCGCCCAGGTGTCGGTGTAGGGGTCGTAGCTCTCCACCTCCACCACGTCCTGCGTGGTGCCTGTGGGGGGGGGGCGAGGCTGCGGGGGTGCGGCCGGGGGGGGGCTTCCTGCTGGGGCCCAGGCTTTGGAGAGGGCTGGGGAGCACCCACCCAGGGTGCCCCGGGAGGGGGAGGCAGTGGAGGGCGAGGCCTCGGTGAGGTTTGGAGAGGTGAGGGCAGTTGCTCGGGCCTTGTGGCCAAGAAAGGGTGTGGGCACTCGTAGGTGGGAACTCCCTCCTGTTCCAGCCCAGCCACCCCCAACGCTGCAGAGCCGGGGCGCACTGGAGGGGTGGTGGCAGGACCCCCTAGGGGGCCAGTCCCTTGGTCGGGTGCCCTTGGGTGGGGCGTGAGTCAGTCCCGGCAGAGCTGTGGGTGGCCCGTCCCAGCCCCACAGAGCCCGGCTGTGAGGACCATGGGGGCCCATGCTGGAGGCAGGGCCAGGCTGGGGCCCCCCGGTTCCCCTGGGGCTCAGGATCTGGCGTGCCCTCTGCTCTTGGCCTGGACGTGACGGCCCTTGAGGGGTGAGGGGCGAGGGGCTGGCCAGCACTCGGGGTGATGAATGAGGAGCGACCTGGGGGCCAGCGGGTCGCCTGCAGGTCGCCTGCAGGTCGCCTTGGGGAGTTTGTCTGTTAATACCCGTCCGGCCGCAGGGGTCCCTGGGCGACGCTGACAGGGCGCTGGGTGGACGGGGTAAGGCGGGCTCCCGTGTGCAGGCCGGGGCTCAGTGGTGGGACAGAGGGGGCGTCAGAAGGACCCATTGTGCGTGCGTCCCTGCACCCCGGGGACTTCCCCGAGGAGGGGACCCTGGTCCGAGACCCGAGCCCAGGGGTCTGGGACAGGAGGGGCTCGGAGGGGGGGGGCAGCCTCACCACCCACGACGTAGATCTCCCCGTTGAGCGCCGCGCTGGCGTGGTTCGTGCGGGCCTTGAGCATGGGCGCCACGGGCCTCCAGACCGCCTCCGCCAGCGGGAAGCACCAGGCCTGGGTGGTCGACCAGGTGTCCGTCTTGGTGCCCCGCGAGCCACCTGCGGGAAAGGTGCCCATCAGCCCGGGGTCACCGAGCCAACGGGGCCGGGGGGGCCAAGGGTCCCACTCTCATCTCCCCAGGCTCTCCCCAGGCTGGGCCTCCATGCTGCCAGACAGCAGGCCAGGTGGGACCTCGGTGGCACCGTCCAGCTGGGCGGCTTGGACAGGTCCCTCCATGCCCCACACACGAGGAAGTTCTTTCCCAACCAGGCCCCCCCAACTTCTGAGGTCAAAAAGGGCAGGGAGACCCCTCTCGGCCCTCCCATGGGTCCCCCGGGGGTGGGGGGCCTCGGCTGCAGGGGCATTCTGAAGGCACCTGGGGCCCGTGTCAGACAGGCGGGGTCCCTGGGTTTTAAATGTCCTCGTTCTCACAGCACGGGAAGCTCTGGAAGAGTCCTGACTAACTGCTGGGAGCCCCCCCCCAGCGAGGGGGCGCCCCCCGCCTGCCCACCTGTGACGTAGACACAGCTGTTCAGCGCGGCCAGGGAGAAGCCCCACTTGTTGAAGTCGGGGAAGTGGGGCAGCGCCATCCAGGTCTCTGGATGGGAGAGAGCAGCTGGGGTCGGCGTGCAGGGCTCGCTGCGGGGGGAGAGGGGGGCTCCCGCCCCACAGCCCCCCCTCCCCCGCTCACAGCAAAGGGGCGAGGGGACCCAGTGCCATAGCAGCGGTGGTGGTGACCCCCAGGGGCTGGGGTCAGAGGTGGCCCTGGGTGCTCCATGCTCACCGCCAGGCCCGGCTGCTGGCGGCCCCTGGAGCCCAGGCTGGACACAGGACGAGCCGAGAGACGGCCCGTGTCCAGAGACCGCACTCTCACGGACCCTGCAGTCGACCCCACGGCCCCCGAGTGGGCCCCGTGGACTGGTCCCACCTGAGTCCGAAGGGGTGGCCGTGACCTCGAGGCACTGGTGCGTCGTGACAGAAGCATCGCTCGCTCACGCCCGCCCCACACACCCGTGTGCCCTGAGCCCCGTCTGTGCTCCTGGGGGCCGGGCCTGCGGGCGCCAGGCTCGGGCCTGCGGCCGGCAGAGCGGCCCACGTGCAGCTCTCGTGCGCCCGCTGTGCGGCCTCGGGTTCTGCGTCTGTGAAACGGGGGTAACTCCCACCTCCGGGGATGTGTGGGGACCCTGTGAGGTGGCGCGTGTCTGTCTCACAGCCACTGCTCAGCTGGGGGTGGGGGTGGCTTTCAGAACAGAGGGACACACCCACGTCAGACCCGCCCTGCCCCATGGAGCTCCACGAGGTAAACTGAGGCGAGGAGCGGACGAGAATCTTTAAGTCCGTAAGTGCACACAGTTAGGGTTTTTAAGGGGGGCTGGGGGAGAGGTGCCACCTCGGGGGGTCCCTGGGGAAGGCTGTTTATTGTTGATGACAATTTTCAGAACACACGGGTCATTCCGCCTTGCTGGGCGGGGGCTGCGTGACCCCCTGACTCACGTCTGTGTCACCCCAGGGTGGGGATTGCCCAGCAGTCAGTCTCCAGGCCTCTGCCTGCCAGCTGGCCTCCACAGCAGCTGTGTGGGGAGCCCATTGCACGAATGTGGAGACTGAGGCCCAGAAAGGTAGAGCGGCCTGTGCAGAGCTGGTCGGACACCGGAGCTCTCAGCCCCCAGGCCCCAGGCACCACACCCCGAGGCCACAGGCCACACAGGGCAGGGCCACAGGAGGGGGCGGCCGGCCGGGCTGCCCGCCCCGCACGGTGTGCTCTGGGCAGCCACAGAGCCCCTTCCGAGAGGCCCCTTGGCCCAAAGGACCAAACTGAGGGCTGTGGCTGCAGAGAGAGGGGCCTGCCGTGGCCCCCACTGCCTGCTCCCCCCACAGCCCCGGGCCCAGCGCACCTGGGACAGGCCTGGCCTCTGTTCTGTGCCCCTCCCGGTGGCTCCCGGCAGGCGGCAGGGGCCGCGGGCCGAGCTCGGGCGCCCGGGGTACTCACTGGCCTTGGTGTTGTAGAAAGCGAAGTTCCCGTGGTGGGGGGCCCGCTCCTCGGCGTCCTCCTCCTCCTCCTCTTCCTCCAGGGCCCGCCCGCCCACCACCACCAGGACCTCTTCCAGCTGCCGCGGCAGGGCCGGCGGCGCCTGCGGGCCAGGGGGGCGGCGGTCAGAGGGAGCGGCGGCAACAGCGTCCCCGCGCCCAGGGCCCCGGACCCGGTGGTGGCTGCTGGGGCGGGCAGCGGCCCTGACGTTTGGAGGCGGCTGTGGGTCCGCGCGTGCTTCACGCTGGTGCACACGCATGGGGGTGAGCTTTGGTGTGTGTGCATGTGCACAGGTGTGTGGTGACGGCGGCAGAGCTCAGGACGGTGGGGGCACCCCGCCCCTGTGTGTCCTGGCCTCCGGAGCCGCTCCCCCCGCCCCGGCCGCCACCTGCCTCTCGGATGAGTTCCCGCACCCGCCTTTGGGTCGGCCCTAAGCCCCACCCACGCCTGCCCTGCACCTCAGAGCCCCGCCCTCCTGGGCCCGCACACCCTGCCCCGGGTGGCCCTGCCCCGGGTGGCCCTGCATGGTCCACCTGGATGGTAAGTAGTGACCATCCGGAGCCCCAGGGCCCGTGACCCACCACCTCCCTGGCCTTGACTGCAGATGCTCAGGCCTCCCACCACCGGCAACTACACAGCGCCCCCTGGTGGGGCAGGGCCCCCAGCCGGCTCCACCGCGTGGCGGCCCTGTGCGCCTGGCTGTGCGGAGCCACGGTGCACCCCACCCCTGGCCGGAGCTGTGCCTTTGTCCCAGACTCGGCGCTGGAGTCTCCTCTGGAGCAAGGCCCCGAGCAGGCGGCAGACGGACTGGTCAGCCCCTCGTGTTGGCCACACCCTGGCCTGTCACTTCCCCAGGACCCGCTCTGCCCGCCGGGCCTCCCGCCGGCACTCCCGCCGGCACAGATGGGAAGTTGCACCCCATAAACGCTTGAGCAGCTCCCTAAGGGGCAGGTGGTGGCCGGCGGCCCCGCCTGCCGGTGTCCCTCACCCGATTGGGCACAACCTTCTCTGATCGCCCTCCCTCCCGCTGAGCTCCTATCCCCGCCTCTGAGGCCCGGCTCAGATGCTGCCTCCTCCAGAGAGCCCTCCCTGACTGCCCACCCGTGTGAGGGCGCCCCCGGCCCAGCGCTGGCCTTTCTCGTGCTGCCTAAGGTCTGTTCCCGGGGGTGTCCCCCCCTCCCCCCCTGAGCTGTGGGCTCCTTCAGGGCAGGGCAGGGGGTGGGAACGATCGTTTCTAGGTTCCGCTGCCCCTCCCGTTTGCCACACTCGGGGGCACAGTCTGCACTTGGGGGGAGCGGCGTGCTCTCCAGCCCCCACAGGTGGCGCGTGCGAGCTTCCCCCCACGCCCGGCCCCACGCCCCTCACCGCCTCATGGCCCCGGGACAGGGCCGCCCGGCAGGCCTCGGACTCCAGGATCAGCGGCTCCGTGGTCAGCAGCTGCCGCACGTAGGGCCCGGACACGGCCTCCAGGCGCACCAGGCCCAGCAGCTCGGGCAGGTGGGCCGCCCGGGCCGGCGGGTCGTGGCGCACCCAGCGCAGCAGGGCCTCCAGCCGGCTCTGCTCCGGCCGCACCTGCAGCAGGTCGCCGGCCAGACAGGCGGCCAGCCGGTCCCGGGGCAGCTGCAGGAACTCGTCCTCCCGGGCCACGGCCTCGAAGTTCTCCCGCAGGAAGGCCCAGGCCTTGGCGGCCACGCCCAGCAGCCCCTGCTGCTCCCCGAACTCGCAGATGCCCAGGCAGTTGGTGGCGTCCAGCTGCTGCTGCAGGTAGTGGCCGCAGGCCTTCTGCACGGCCGGGAAGTGCAGGCGCGCGGCCGTGCGGGCCAGCGCCTCCACGTTGGCCTGCGTGATGGTCAGCCGGCCCGTGTACACGAAGTCCACCAGCTGCCCCACCACGGCGGCCTCCACGTCCCACAGCTCCACGCGCGCCGAGAAGCTCTCGGCGAAGTCGCCCGCGAACATGGCGTGGAAGTAGGGGCTGCTGAGTGCCAGCAGGCCGCGGTGGCAGGGCAGCTCCCGGCCGCCCACCAGCAGCGTGACGTCGGCCAGCTTGGGCTGCGCGCGCAGCCTCTGCAGCCCGTCCAGCATGTCCTGGGCGTGCGAGGGCAGGTGGAACTCCAGGTCGTCCACGTTGCGGACCATGGCTGCGGTGCCGGTGCGGCCAGCCCCCCAGGGAGAAGCTGCGGGGGCCACAGGGGAGCAGGGTCAGGGGGGCGGGGGGGGGGGCCGTTCACACCAGTGCTTCCCACCCCCCACGAGCCTCGGCTGAGCGCTCTGATGTGTGAAGTGCTTTACTCGGCACCCCCAGCCCCGCCTAGTCCCCCAGCCTGGGGCTTGGGGAGGGCGGGAGACCCACCCACGGCCCCGAGATGGGGGCAGGGTGGGGCCAGCAAGAGAACCCCAGCCCTGGGCCGTCCCCCCCATCTCTGGGCCACACGGAGCAGGCCCCTGGGGCTTTGGGGTCCCCATGGCCCCCAACCCCCACAGGGACCCCTTGGTCCCCAACCCACCATTGTTGGGGAGGACACTGGGGACATGGGAGAGGTGGCCTGCCTTGGCCTGCTATGGCCTTGCTGGTGTCCAGGGGGCCAGGCTGGGGGTCCCCCGCTGCACCCCCAGTTTCCACCGCCTCCGGGTGTGGGTGGGTGAAGACAAACCTCGGGAGCTTCCTGGAGGCAGCGCTGGTGACTCAGTGTCCACGCCGTCTGATTCAGCAGGTCCACCTCGGGGCTGATTTAGTTATGAGCACATTTATTTACGTGCTTCTGACACCTCACTCTCAGGACGCCTCCCCAGGGAGGGAGAAGGTCTGCCCGGGGGGGCCTGCCCCCACCACCCGAGTTACCCACCCCCGGAAGGGCTGCACCCCAAAGACACGGTCTGCCCACCAGGGGGTGCCCTCCGGAGCCGGCGGTGCAGCGTGGGGACAGACCATCAAGCCGGGAAGCCTGGGAACTGTGAGCCGTGGAGGCTGGTGGGGGGGGGCTCCTGAGCTATGATGGCACGCTGCTGGGGGGGACGCCTGAAGCCCCCCTCCCCCCAGCGGGTGCCCGTCCCCACCCTGCAGAGCAGGCCTAGACCCGGGCAGCCCACCCGGGGGCCTGAGGACCTGCTCGGGCTCCTGCTGGGCCAGGCTGGGTCCGTGGGCCAGGCCAAGGTCCGTCCCGCCGACCCCCCCCCCCCCCCGCCAGGGAGGCCCGTGGCTGGGGGTGGTGGCTCTGTCCTCCCAAGGGGGGTTTGGCAGGAGCCCAGTGGGCCAGCCACCGCCCCCAGGCCTTGCATTCCTGTCATTGTTGTGTCCCTCTGGCCGCTCTGCCACGAGGGGCCTTAGCGGTGCCTGCTGACACCTGCCGCCCTGCTGCCCCAGCTTGGGGTGGGGGTTTCCGGGGGGTCCCAGAGCCTCCACCGGGTGCCCGTCCGGGCCAGGCGTGAGGACGGCCCAGCGGGCAGGACGGGGAAGGACACGGACGCCAGACACTGTGGCCCTGGCTGCAGTCGGGCCGTGGCCCAGCCTCCCCTGCCTGCCTCCCCAGCCGGACCGGAGTGGGGCCTGCCTGCCAAGTTCCCACCCCTCGACCCAGGGGTGGGCTGGACCAGGACCGGGGGTCTCTCACACCAAAGTGCCAGCACCGTGAGCGCCAAGCCCACGCTGTCCCACCGTAACTCCCCTCTCCCAGTCCCCACCGCCCCCTCCGGTTGCCCCTGTCCAGAGCCCCCGGGCCCTACCTCTCAGCAGGACGCTGCACCCCGTGCTGAAGACTCCGGCCGGAGAGCGGGGCTGGCCAGCTGGCTGCGGGGGCACCGGGGGCCTGCAGGGCGGGGCGGCCGCGTGGGGGTGGCAGCGTATTTTTAGCCGCAGCCTGCCCAGGAGGCGGGGAGGGACGGGCCGGCGGGGGGAGGAGTTTGGTGCTGTCGCCTCCCTCCCCGCTGTCCCCTCTGGACGCCCACGGGGCCCGGGCGGAGGCAGGACGCATTCCTGGGCGGGACCAGAACAGGCTTTGCCCCCCCCCCCGTGGGCTGACTGGTGGGGCGGGGGCTGGCCGTGCGGCTGCCCCCTCTGCTTCCCCACCTGACAGAGGGGACAGGGGTGCCCGTGCTGGGGACTCCGGGGGGCACACAGCGGCCCCAGCTGGGGCCCAACAGGCACGAGCTTCTCTGAGCTCATCCGCAGGCACCTGTGTGGCCTCCTGCTCTCCCGCCAGGTGGGGAGGCGTCACGGTCACGGAGGGCTGGGCAGCAGAGGCCTCTCACACCCGGGGTCCGTGGTGGCCAGGGGCAGCCGGCACGGTGGAGGGCTGCCCAGAGAGGCAAGGAGGCAGCCCGGAGCGCCCCCAGACTGGAGGCAGGGACTCGGGATCTCGAGGTCCCGTCCCCACCGCATCACGGCTGCCACGGCCGGCACCTTCATTAGTTGTGAGAGCCGGGAAGCGGGGCCAGCGGGGAACACGGCAGCGGCCCCAGGGGGACCTGGCGTCTGGGGCTCACAGGCCCCAGGACCGGGACAGCCAGAGGGGTCTCCGGGCACCTCCCACACCTGCGGTCAGCGTGAAGCCGCAGCCTGGGGCGGCCGGGTGGGAGCTGCCGCCTGTGGGCCGCTGCCCCCTCACCCACGAGGGCCTTAGTGACACCACGTCTGGGTGTGTGTGGGGGCGCGGCAGCGGCAGGCGGGGCCGTGTCCAGGGGAGGCCCATCAGTGTCCGCCAGGGCTGGCTGGGGCTCCGACGGCGTTGAGAGGCCCGGGTGGCCCCCGGGGGACAACCCGGCTCCTGGTCACGTCCAGTGACTTCTCAAGGGCGGAGGGTGTCACCACAGTGTGGGTCCGGACAGAGGACGCCTGCCCTCCAGCACGGCTGCTGGGCCCGCCACCTGCTGGGGAGGCGGCTGCGAGCCCTCCTGGCCTGCGCAGCCCAGCGGTGCACCAGTCCCCGCCGCCGTCCCCGCACGATGGCCCGTCTCAGCACAAGCTCACGGGCACCTCCTCGCTCTGCCCCTCACGGGCTGCTGTGCTCCTCGCCTTGGCCTGGCCCGCTCAGCTCCGGGCCCTGTCCCTGCCCTGGACTATTCCAGAAGCCTCCCCCGGCCTTGGTCAGGGGAGGGGACCCGCTGGATGTCCCAGCCCTCACTGTGCCCAGCCCCCGTGGAGGGGGTGCTGGAAGGGGAACCCAGAATCCGGTCTCTGCCCCCCGCGGCCCCCCACCCCGTTTCCAGGCAGGACACCGAGGGTTAACGCCGGAGGAAGGGACCACGGGGACCCGGAGGAGAGGCTGCCGCCGCCAGGAGCTGCCCCGCCTGGGCACGGGGCGAAGGCCGCCCGGGGACACGGGGCTCGCATGACGGGTCACTTGACACCGGGCCTCAAAACGGATCCTGGTCAGCAGGTCGCCGCCGAGCAGACGGGGTTTGAAAACACGCGGCTGCTTTCTCTTCACGACGAAAACAACACACGCGCGTGCATGCAGGGGAGATTCGGGAAAGCCGAGACTCGCCGGCCCGTCCCCGTCCGTCTCCCCCTGGTGGCGCCCAGACGCCGTGTCCTGGCTCGTCTCACCAGCGCCAACGCGTCTCTGCTGTGACCGGTCTGCGGGAAGCGTGCCTGCAACCTGGTCCTAACACGGACCCGCAGCCCCGCAGGGAGTCGGAAACGACATGCGGTCACTGACCCGGTGTCACTTCTGAGACTGCTTCCCCGGAAGACAGGAGAGTTAAGGCGTGTGGTCATCTTTGCAGCCCTGGGGGGGTGCCCAGCCGGGGCGAGGGACGCCCTGTCTCCAGGGGGGTCCCAGTTGCACCCCGCGCCTGTCTGTCCCCTTGGCGCTGTGAGCCTGTCCCCGAGCAGCCAACCCCACCCGCCCGCGCCCTCTGCGGGTGTCCTGCCGCCTGGCTCGCTCACGGCCCCTCTTACTGCACCCGGGACTTATTTGGGACTCGGGGTGCCGTGAGCTCCCCCCTTTCCTCCCCATACTCGGTTGACCACGCCCTCAGGACTGGAGTGGACAGTCCCTTCTCCCCCCGGGGACTTGCTGTGGCATTTCCTCTCAGGGCAGACCTTTCTGGCTGGGGGAAGCGTCCCAGCCTGTTGACCCGAGGGACCCTCAGAATTCTGGGGCCAGAACCCGCCGGGGGGACGGGCCGTCGCTCCAGAGTTTTGGTCTCTGGCGAGCTGCTGTGTCCCCCTGCGGTGCGCTCGCTGGCCGCGGCGGCATAACAAACGCCCCGCGGTCTGGTGTCCAAACTTCACAAACAGGGACTGTCTCGCCGTGTCTGGGGGGATCCGCCTCGGGATCCGTCCTCAGGGGGCACCAGGGAGCTGCCTGAAGGCCACCCTCGGGTGGGCGGCCTCTGCACCCGGCTCTCCCCACACGGTGGTGGCAGCCTCCCCAGAGACAGGAGCAGCGAAGCCGGGAGTCGTGACGCCAGCATGGGAGTGATTCCGTCACTTCCGTGGTGCAGCGTGGGGGGCCACAGGGGCGGGATGACCGGGGGCGGGGTCTCGGGGGGGCCCCGCCGGGGCTGTGGCTGCTGTCTGAGTTCGTGTTGAGCCTGTGGCCGATGCAGGTGCCGGGTGGACTGCGGCCCCCGGGTGGGTGGACTCGGGCCCCCCGCTGCCTGGGGTGCGGCTGTGCTCTGAGGGTCCGCCCGCACGCGCCAGGGGCCGGGGAGCCAGCGGACGAGCAGGGCTTCCTGTCTCCGGGGTTTTCCTGACTCGGGAAGCCCCAGGTTCCACCTCGCTTTGTGTCTGGTCGCCGCACTGGGGTCTGCAGCTGGGGGTGGGGGGCACCACCCGGGCCCAGGGCTGCGCGTGTGGCCCGGCCGGCCGTCTATCTGCCGCGGGCCCTGCTCCCCGTGCTCGAGCTGCCGGTCGCTGGGCCCCAGGCTGCCGGGCATCGAGTCACCTGGGACGCTGGCCCGGGGCTCACAGGGAGTAGGGCTGCCCCCCCCCAGCACCGTGCCTCCATGAGACCCCGGGGAGCAGGGCGGCTCCTGAGGGGACTCCCCCCCGCCCTTCCGGGCCTCAGGCCTGGCTGTGAGCCTCCACCACCCGTCTCCTGGCAGCGCGCCCGACCCCATGCCCTCCCGGAACCCAGGGTGTCCGGGAGATGCCCTCTGCTGGCCTCGGCCCAGACCCTATGCTGGGAAACTGAGGCCGAGGCCCAGCGAGCAGGTGGCAATGTCCAAGGCGGGTGTGCCGGCCCCCTGACCAGGGGCATCCCGAGTGCCCCGGCCTGCAGGCCACCTCTGAGGCCACGCTGTGCCCACCACCCGCCTCCACCTGGCCCCTGGGAACAGCGCCAGTGGTGTTGGCGGTGCAGGCACCCCGCGGGGACCGAGACACCGGACGCCCCCATCTCCTGACGCCCCCACCCCAGGCTCACCCGGCCCCCCCCATCAGGCCCGCACCGCTGGCCAGCCCCGGGCAGTCCCCTCAGTCACGCTTTGGGGCCAGGCGCTGGGGGACAGCGTGGAGACACTCGTGGGCGCCCGGGGTCGGTGCCTGCTCGTGGGAAGCTGCTCCGTGAAGGGTGACCACAGGCGGGCGAGTGCCACTGCTGTGCCAGGACAGGGGCCCGGGCCAGGGCGACCTCAGCCCACCCCCATGACCCCAGGGTGGCAGGGCAGCACGCCCCCTACTGGACGGACGAGCACGTGCGCCCCCTGCTGGGACCCGCTCTGGGCGCCGGCAGCCGGCCCGGGGCAGCAAGCACGGCGCGCAGACCAGCCGGGATCCAGAGTCTTTATTCAGCAAACCCTCGTCCTCCGTCCCGGGCCTGGCGGCCTCGGCACCCAGCACGCCCGACCGACCTGATGCCTCCCCGTGGGGCTCCAAGGGGCTGGCTGCGGGGGCGGGGGGGCTCTGGGCCACCCAACAGCTCACTGGCTGCCCCCCCCCCAAGCTGTGCAGAACACCTGTCACGAGGGGCCTGGCTGCAGGGACGTGGTGGCCACAGCACGGTCCCAGGGTTCCCTCCCCACACACTGCCTGTTGGGGCCCCTGTTGGGGCCACTGAGCAGCTACAGGACACCGTCCCCCAAAGTCCCCTGGGCCACTATCCCAGCTGGTGGGGCCCACCCCCCGGCTGCCCTGGGGTCTGGGGACAAGCCATGTGGGGCTCTGTTCCCCCCTCGCCACCTGCTCACGAGACGCTCTGCAGCACTGGAGGCTCCCTGAGGGGGCGGCCACCCCCTTTCCTCGTTCCCTCACGGGGAAGGCTGCAGTGGCACCAGGTGATCAGGGTCCAGCTAGTGTGTGTCCACCCCGGCCATGAGCCCTCTGGGCCCGAGGCTCACCTCTGAGGGTCCCCTGTGCTCAGAGCTCCTCCCAGCTGCCCCCCCCCCAGCCACCGCCCCTGTCACAGATGCCCCCACTCACGACAAGGAGCCCACAGGCAGGGCCCAGGAGAGGCTGTCCAGCGGGGGCAGGAGCCCCCCAGGGAGCCCTCTCTCTGGGACCAGGTCCCCTGGGACGCCGTGGGGTGGGCACGTGCGTGTCAGCAGGTGACTGCGTGAGACCAGCTTGCAAGTGTGTGTGGCCCACCTCCCGGGCCCAGAGGGCGCGTCTGTGGACAGCCAGGCCAGGCAGGCCCGTTCTCCCCAGCTCGCGGCCCCGCTCCCATTTCACAGGTGGGGAAAGAGAGGCCGGGGAGGTGGAGGGACAAGGCCTGAGGTCACCAGAAGAAACCGAGGCAGGACCCATGTGGGGCACACGGAGGCTCTGGACATGGCCGGGCCGCAGAGCCAGAGACACTGGGGGACAGGACACCAGGGCTGGACGGAGGGCCCGTGGAAAGCTGGTCATGGCGTGCCCCGGGCCTGGGGACCAGTGGGCAGAGGGGCCTGGGGCT